CTCGTCACTTTGCTCTCTGCTCGGGTTAAGATATGAGAGTTGTACTGGGGCCGCGAAAGGCCATTAGCGCCCAAACAGAGGCAAAATGACTGGGTCGTTGCGCGGGGATTTTTTTTAAAACTTGACATGCGTCTCCCCTACCGATTCCCCGGGATGCGCAATGGTTCGGTCCCCTTTATCCTACCCGCGACCACAGAGTGACACCAGATGGGGGGTGCGTGCTATCTTACCCTCCCTGCGCGCAAAGCAACTCGGGATAGTACCAAATCCCTCGTCACTTTGCTCTCTGCTCGGGTTAAGATATGAGAGTTGTACTGGGGCCTTCTTTCCTCTTTTACCTGCCCCCACATTACTCGTATCCTCTCCTCAAGTCCTTCCCTGCTCTAACACCCAATACTCACATTTTTCTCCTCCAATACTCACCCTTTCCTTTACTCTGCCACTCCATTTCTCACCATCGCTTACCTTATAAGCTTACCCCCGTGCATAGAGAATCCCCCCTTAGCACCGTCTTCCCATGTAACCTGCGTCCACCAAATAAATGCAGTCCATATCAACCTTCAGAAATCTCCTGTTTTAATCGTTTCCGTCAAATACATCCAGTAATGTATCATCGTATCCCTTGGTTTTCCTCACCTCTCGCTCGTCAAAATCGTACATTAAGTGTCATTGTACCCTTGGTTTTTTCTCATCTCTCGTCCTTCACTCCTCTTCAGAACACCGGCTTGAAATCCCTGCTGTTATTGCGCTGCGTTCACAGCCTGTCCCCCTGGCTCTCCTTCTCGGGTCTCCTGGCCACTTGATCCCGTAGGATCCCTCGTGGCATACTTTCTTCAGTTGCATACTAGTACTTCTCAGGCCGGTTCTCGACTGAGGGTAGCTGTGATCTATTCAAGTGTCAACCTGAGTTGAAGAACGACCGCTCGGGGACGGGTGCGACCAACGCACCCGCTGTGAAAGGTCGTTACGAAGTTGCTGAGTCAACTCGACTGACGCCAGCGGTGAAAGGCTGTTCTGGCCCTAATTATTTGGTTGGTGGGAACCATTTCCGACCACCATGTGTGGCACCAGATCAGGGACAGAAAGCTGCTGAAAGGGCTTTTATGAAAGAAATTTGTGTCTCCTTTTTGTCTCGTTTTTTTTTTCGTTAACAGATAACGAAAAAACGCCAAAAGATACTGCACCCCCATTCAACCGTACTCAGAAGTCGGCACAAGTTAAACGAGAGGTGAGGAAAAACAAAATTTGGGGTATAGCAAAATTTTTTTTAGTGAAAATCGGATCAGAAGATGTGAGGTTCCCGCGAGCCAACATAATGTTTCAAGTTTGTTTGCTGAAACCTGGGATTGTTCTACACAAGTTGCAAACATTGTGCCGCCTGTGTTGGCTGACATACACGTGTGAAGGGAATATTCATTTTGTCGCAGGAAACATGGGCCCACACAGGGGTTGCTTCCGCGATTCACACAGAGGTGACCACTGGGACAAAAGACAGAAGGGCTCCGTCTACTTCTTGGAGGGTGGCATCTACCAACGCTCTCCCAAATCCGATAAACATAGTTTTATGTCCGGGGAGCATCTAAACTTGCTCTTACCCGCTGGATTTTCAAAATCAATGTTTTCCCAACCGTCCGGGGACTTGTTCTTCTCTGCCGGATTTCCACAATCAAAGCGTTTCGAACAGTCCGGCGAGCGTCTCAACTTGCTCTTACCTGTCAGATTTTTTAAAATCAAAGTTTCTAACGTAGTCCGGGGAGCATCTGAACGTACTCTTATCCGTTAGATTAAAAAATCCACATTTTTCCAAAAACAGTTCGGGGATCATCTCAACTTGCTCTTACTCGTCGCATATTTTCAAAATCAAAGTTTCTAAAAACAGTCCGGGGAGCATCTCAACTTGCTCTTACCCGTTAATTCAAAATCAAAGTTTCTAAAAACAGTCCGGGAGCATCTCGACTTGCTCTTACCCGTTAATTCAAAAATACAACATTTTTCCAAAACAGTCCGGGGAGCATCTCAACTTGCTCTTACCCATCGGATTTTCAAAACCAAAGTTTCTAAAAACAGTCCGGGGAGCATCTTAACTTGCTCTTACCCGTTAGATTAAAAACATTTTCAAAAAACAGTCGAACAATCGTTCTCACTAATTTTACCTGGGGCCAAACAAAAAACTTGGCTGCGGCTGTGTCGCCCTGCCCGTCCAGTAGGTTGGTGACCGCTTGTGCGGCCGTCTTTCCGGGAAATGTGCCGGGTGCTGGTGAACTGCTCTTTTGGGGTCCCGGCCCGTCAGTCCGAGGATGAAAATCTGCGTCGCTAGCTCATCTCGGTTCATCTCCTGGGTTTGAAACTTGCCGGCTGCTCCAGCAGCTCTGCGTCGCCCTGGCCGATCTAAATTTCTAACAAAATGGCTCCGACCAGGGTAAAATCCCCGCGCAACACGGGAACGCCATGGCGTACGTCCGTGGCGTCCGGGCTGCGACCACAGAGTGACACCAGATGGGGGGTGCGTGCTATCTTACCCTCCCTGCGCGCAAAGCAACTCGGGATAGTGGATGAACGGAGGGAAAGGTTGCCCAATGGAAGAAGGAAGGGACGGAGAGGGGAAAGATGGATGGATGGATGGATGGATGGATGGATGGATGGATGGATGGATGGATGGATGGATGGATGGACGGGCCGACGGACATGTGGATAAATAGACATAAGGAAGGAAAGGGGTGGAAATGGGAGAAGGATTGATAGGTGAACTGACAAAAAGGAGAGAGGGACTGGAGGAAGGAAGGGGAAGGAAGGAAGGAAGGAAGGAAGGAGTCATTTATCTGACAGAGATATCAACCTGGACACCTGGTACAACCTGTTCTCAAGCCACCAGCACATTAAACCCGTTTTCCCAATCTCATTTTCCGCGGTTAGATCGGGCTCCAGGTTATCATCAGAGTTTACTGACTGGCAGACCTCCAGAACCAACTCCATGAACTTCACCTGTGTTTGTGTTCCTGCTAATGAGGACAGGCGACCGGAGGGCAGCCAGGGTCTGGCTTCACTTGACCTCTGTGACCTTGGAGGACCGGTCATGTGTGCATCACGTGATCGCTTTCGGCAAGCGTTTGGTTACTGCAATGAGGTTATATTTTTATAACCTCTTTGGTTACTGAAGAATGGAAGAAATCGGCTAAAGTGATACATAACTTTGCCAAATGAGTTAGTGGTATACCGACAAGCTGAACTAACTGCCAATGGAGTCCTATTCTAGATCGCATTTTCATTGTTAGGCCCCAGGCGAGACTGACAATTTGAAGGTGTCACGTACAATTGACCTCCACACGCCGTATCAATTTCTTCAGTCTTGAACTTTCCGTCCAGGGAAATCAGAAAATACGCCCGGGTCAAGGAGCGAAAACCACAAAACTGTGACGCGGAGAAAACGATTAGTTCCGCGGAGAAGAACGTTAAATGTGGGGCATTATCGGTGAGGTTTGGTGGTCCTGTTAGCGAGACAAAACACCGAGACTTCCTGCCACTAGTCAGACCTCCGGGTGTTCTCTCAATCTCCAAGCAGATGTTACTTTCGATGGGCAATCGTCATGTTTTCTGTATAAAGCGTAGCTGATAGAAATGAAATAGAAAACGTTACCATTTTCCACCTTAACATCTACTTGGAATTTAGTGTTGATGATACACCTGGATGGTGTGTCGACCCTTCGTCATGCTATTTTGCAAGGCAGTGTAAAAACCTTCCATGTGTCTTTTGTTTCAACACGTTGCTTAGAAATAAGATATCATTTACCGAAGGATCTGAAATGTCAATGTTGACAGGGAAGGTCAGTGGTTGTGGAACACTCAACACAGGGGACGTTTGAGTTTCAGTAAGTTTGACAGGCAAGATTAAAACACGTTTCATTTTTCCGCGAAGCTTGCACCAACCTTCCTCTAGGACTATTGTTTCTACATTTGCTGTCTTTGCCAATATGTTTTGAGTAGCGTTTGCCAGGTCAATCAATTTGTTAGTCATGTTACTTGTTTGCTCGTTTGGTTTTTAAGTGAAATCGTAATAACTCATTAACAAATTTTCCTTCCCGTTTTCCTTCGAATTCCTGGATAAAGACCTGAACTAGACATTTCCAGGAGGATTTCTTGGCGTCGACAGACATGGAGCGGCCTGTGTGGGAGATAGAGCGGGTCGTACGTGGTACCGAATGTGGGTAGACAGGGCTGGATTTTTCAGCCATTAGAAAATGATGAATTGTGAGAGGTACATCTAGAGGTCAGGAGACGTGTCGATGTGTGCTAAGATGTTCACAGTTTTCAGCAAGTTTTCTCCACGCTTGATGATGAATGCAGGCGATCTCTGTGTACGTGCCTAGTCTCAAACTGAAGCCTTCTTTGGTGGGCTAACTCGTCTGGCAAATCGTTCACCCTACTTGTTCAATTCCTACTTTCCTCATCCCTGAAAGAAGGCCAAAGAAGTCTGTTGGAGACTAGCCTTTGGCTAGACAGCGTCCCTATAGACTAGGCGTAATGTCCACACCTGGGTAATTACTATCGCATTGGGGTCACCTGATTTGGGGTCGGATGGCAGTCGCTCCAGACCTCTGCCCTTCATCTTCATAAATTCTAAAAGTTCTTGTGCTTGTCTACAAGCTCAGCGGTGGTGTGCCGTAAATACAGTGTGATAGGTAGTTACACTGTCGTTGGCTAAATTCTGCGTCTAGACAAGGACATTACGTCCTTGGTCTAAAGGACGGTACCGAGTTTCCGACCAATATTACTACAGCCTTAGTCATGTTCGAATAACCAGTTACACCGGACACGTGACCTTACAAGCACGAGTTCACACCGACCGTCTCTGTTGAGTATCATTGGGTGGCGCGTGTCACGTGCCCATTGTCAGTGATCAAACCATTCCATGATTCTAACCCTCTGAACATTCTGAAGAACTCAGACTGTGACTTGTTTGTGTTGGAACATAGTTGGGCTGTTTACTGTAAGCAGGTACTTACGTTTGCAGTCGCCGTACTCGTTCCTGACCCAGCCGTAGCAGCAGTCGTACCTGCCCCCGTACCGGCACAGCCCGTGTCCCACCTTGATCTCCTTCTGCGCGCGCAGCTTCTTTATCACCTTCGGGCTGGAATTTGAGCGCAAAAAAAGAGAGATTAGGACAGGGAAAAGCAATTTAGGTTGTAAAATACGGGATTCTTTTTCCATCAAAACGTTTAACTTATCGATTCAACACTATGGAGTTTTCAAAAGAACATTTAGTCTTCTTCATGATGAATGACCCATCATGTCGGGCACGTGACCCCTCGACAACGTGATTCCATGGTATCCATGGTGATTCTAGTGCTAGGTCAAAGGTGTCTGAACCTTCATACCGCCATATCTCGGAGGTTAAACGACATGCAGTGTAGGGGGGGCTGGGGAACCTTTGACTCCTATACTATCATGGACTGGACTATTTAATTGTTTGTCAAGATCTATTAAAATGAAATGTTATTTCCTCGCATCAAATTTGGCAATTTGGGTCTTTTCACCTTGTATCAGGGCAAAAAGTCTTCAGCCGGAAATCACAGGAGGTTAGAATTAAATCACAGTGAAGCACAGAACAAAGACATTATGTACGTTTTACTGGTTATCCTTGGTTATTGTACTGAGTATAAGTGTGTAATGTACACACACCGCGTCAGCAACAGACGGGAACCGTAGCATGCTAAAAGTTATTACCGCTGGAATGTTGAGAGACTTACAGGCGACTTCCGAGACGGCAGACACGGCAGAGGGTCGCCCTGACAACATACGGACAACGCGGAGTCCAGACTTTGTGGGGCTTTAGACAAAGGTGAAAAAAATACCGAGGGATTTAGTCTCAATTTCGCGTCACCACAAGATTACAGGGCGCGAACAGAAAATGACAGAGTGAAACACAGCAGACATGTGTTACTTCTCTTTTGTGGGAAATGAAAAACAATTTTTGGATCGTGCGATATAATGTACAGACTCTGTGACATCTTACTCTACAATTTGTATTTTCGCCTAGAAGGTCATAGTGGCGATATGAAGGATTTCAATTCAATATGGGAAATAATTGAACTAAACAAAGGGGGGGGGGTCTTGAAAAAATTATATGAACACAGGAGAGCGTCACAGTGCACATTTGTGTGAATAGAATCTCGTTCTGTAAAAGTGCCAACAGCACTAACCAGGTGACTTACTAAATCTTTTCCAACCATGAAATCGTCGAAACTAGATTGCTCAAATTAAAAACCAGATGGAGGGTTTCACGGAAAGTTCCGAAGTCAGTCACGACCTTAATGTGCGCGACAAATCAATCTGGCCGCCCGGGAAATGCCGAGCTGGGTTCTGACTGATGCGGGCAGCGCGTGAAGGAGACGGGAGAGGCCGACGGGCAACTCCGATAACACTGGTCTGGGAATAAAAACTCGGGGATAAAGTCATAATATATTAACTAACATAACGGACTAAATGTGCTTTTCAATGCCAATGTTCTTATCGTATTTTGCATTTTCCTCCTAGTAGTTGTAGTTGTACTTGTAATTTGTCTGTTTGTAGCACAACCAACGTAAGACATTGTGTGGAAAATTCTCGAGACGATTTTACGACGCCCTGTGACAGGCCTAGTAAATTTCAAGATTCTTTTTGACTAGAGTGGGGCATCAAGCGATAAACTTTTAAACTGAAGCGACAGACTTAACGGGGCTGCCAATCATTGTGATCGTTTCCTGTGTTATAATTTGATTGTGATTTTCCCTTCTAAATGTTTGCCTCCATGGAGTGGACTAGACAGTAAGGAAAGAAAAGTACTTTAGGTAACGTTACATTCAAGTCGCTTTCGGTAACATAAGAGATAAAGCAGAGTAGCGTTAAAGTACGTTAGAGTAGATAAGAATGTGTTTTACTGGACATCATTACAGAAATTCCTTCCGGTTCACTGCCCGACAAAACCCGGCTGTCACTAGCCTGGTGTCCTGTCACACATGTCTGCTCCCGTGTTTTGGTCGGACCGTTTGACCATGTTTATCTCGTGTTCCATCTGTTTGGCCTGCCTGTTTAGCCAGCCGGGCCTGACGGCGCACGTAAACAGAAGCGCGGTGGGTGTGATAAGACCTGATGGATGAGTCTGCGGTCTCTCAGGAGGTACACGGACGGCGGACAGGTACGGTGTCAGGTCGTCACGGACATGTGAACACCAAAGGGACACCGTGCTCACTATATTGGATAGTTGAGCTCTCTTGTCAAGGTCTTGTTGGTTTGTTCCAAGGCAATAATACCGCGAACAAGGGAGTGGTATCACTCAAGGAGACACATCTGTAGAGCCACAGTATCACGTCTTGTGATAAAGTTTTGTCTGTGTGTGTGTAATTCTTGTTTTCCTCACGAAAATCTTGTTTCAGTGAAGTTTAAGACGACGACTCTAGAATATCTAGGAGAACATGGGGTTTGAGAAGCTCACAGGCTGGAGAGCGAGTACATGAGGATAACCAGACACAAAGTACAAGACACGTTATAACATAGGGGGTGTCGTGTTAATAAAAACGGATCATCCTTTAAGCCCTCAATTGACGTTTAAAAGAATCAGCCAGGATGTGGATTCTTTACACGACCGTACAACTAGGTCTACGACTTTGAAAGGGGGACTTCTCTTCCGACGTTTATTAGAATATTTTACACAGACCAGTCGGAAATTCTTTTGACCTTTACACTGGCTGCCAAGTTACTCCTCGGGCTAAAATCGTTCTGCGGGAATGGATTCTTCTAAAGGGGCGTTTGTTATGGTCGACATGGAACCTTTTTGTCAAACATCTAATGACATCTACGTGTGGTCAAGGTCAGCGGCTGTGTGAGTGGCGGGAAAGGCCGTGACCTGGAGCAGACAAATTGTAGTGTGTTCTGTCCACATAAATATTTATCCTGTCAGGACAACACAACACTGGTGCTGTACAACAACGACAGGCAAGACACGGGCAAATGTTTTCATTTTGTTCGGCGATGAAACCAGGACTCAGTCGGACATTTGCGGTCGAAAACGTCGTCTGGAACACATTACACGGTGTCGTTGCTCTAATTCTACACAGAGGTCGTTTTCGGTCGTGCTACAGTATCTATTGGGAGTTACAGGACCTACTTTGCAAGCAAATATGCAATACTTTCTCTGTTTCTGTCCGCATGATTTTTGTCTGCTTCAAAACCCACCCAGAAATTATGCGAAGTCTTTAAATATTACACCGTTTATTCAACTGTTCCTTGTGGTTTTGATAAGAGGAACGGTTTCATGCAAAACCCGTAAGATGAGAATTTGATCGGTCGGCAGGAGGGAGCTCTGTTGGGCAGCCCGTTTCCAGAGCCCACCACTGCGGACGACACTGGACGAACTGTAAACTATTTAGTAAGAAGTGATAGCCGGGTCAGAGGGTTAATCTGTCCATGGATCAAAGAGGCTGAGGCCAAAAGTAGCAGATTAACAACTATAACAACACAAGTGGAGTGGTGTTTATCTAACCATTCATGGGCGAGGAAATCGGCGTTATTGTTTGTGGGAAATGCAAGCGGAGACTGTCAATGAACTGCACTGTTTAGACCTTTTAGAACTTTTCACGGCTTATTGTTATTCACATTTTCTCATGCCCATTGTGTCCCCGTCTGAAGCGATATCATAATTTAAACCCAGTCAGTTTTTCTTTCCACACATTCAGAAGGAACGTGAGCCAATAGTTTTAGCTAGCCTGCCACGAAGCCTGCATAATTGCTGAGGATAGAGTTTCCCACAGTTTAATACACATGTACCGGAGGGACTCACTGCTAAATGAATCAGTATTGCTGGTCTACGTGGTCTAGCAGCAGTGTGTATTGAACCATAGAGTACGCTTCTGTTTCCGACAAGTTTCAAAGTGTCAAACCCCCTTGTTTTTACAATATTGTACAGTTGAGTTGAATTACAGAAAGAGCCGAATGAGCGATACCAAATGTTTTCTTGAGATTTAGTAGCGTCCTTCAAACATGTCAAACGACGGAAACCGGACGAAGTCTGGTATATTATGTGTTTATTTCGCGGCCAGACGTTGTCTCAATGTCTGGTTTGGAGTTCTTTTTAATTGGTGATAATTATTTTCACGGGAAAAGATGAATGAATGAATCGCTTTTGTTTAGCAGCACGACGTGAAACAAAACGTGTGAAGTGCCACTTTGCTGACAAAAACTTCTTTGACATTGCCCTTCAGCTTAGCGTAGTTACTAGTTAGTCTTTCACAGGCCAGGTTTCACATTGAAGTTACCATTTCTTTCATTCATAGGTGCGCAGTCCGTTGTATTTATGCATACGTGCCATCTTTTCATGAATACGAGACTGATTCAAGAAGCAAAACATTGCTCACGTTCGCCCTCACACGTACATACTTAGACAAGAAAAATATAAACAAACAAAAACGCCTGTAAATAACAAAGGGCAGACAAAAATATATGAGTCTGACAAGAGCCGAGTTTACGCTGCCGACTGCTGGTGACAATATTACACAAACACAGCACATCAGGACAAGCTGATAGACGTACCTGTAGTAAACATTGGCGTGAGCCTTCCTGTTTCTCTTCAGGGACGACCGGTGCTTTTTGTAGGGATGTCGCCTGGCCAGGCTGAGCTGTAGAACCAGCAGTAGAACCAACAGGACCCCGCACACACTGGACGGCTTCATGGTCTCTAATAAAGCCGGTCTCGGCCCAGTTGTGGTTGTCTTGGCGGCGAAGTACTTTCACTCACTCAGTGTCGCCCTCAATCCCAGAGCGGTTACTGAGATTAGACACTTTTCCACTTAACTACGGCGTACAAGATTTTACGAAAACAATCGCCTTGTGTTTTGTAGGGAAGCTGAACTGCAAGCCGGCGTCTTGTGGCCCGCCCCTCAAGCCAGCTGCTCCCGTCTGGAAGTAGGTCCTCAAGTGGTGAAGAAAGCAATGTAGAACCCTGACCAAGAATTCCTCTCAAATCAAGGTCTTCTCCTATAAACCAAGCTGCAGTCTCTACACGTTTATAGAAACGGGACAAACCCACCCCCAGCGTCTCGTGCCCTACAGCAAACCTTCCCGGTGGTTTTCCACCGCAGACCGCGTCCTCTCGGGTACCGGCTGACCGCTTCTAGCGACGCTGTGACGGCTGGAGGTAGACCGGGTCTCGAGCCAAACCGATGAGTCAGACCCGTTTCTTTGTACTTCCTAGTTCTTCAGTGCCCGGGAAAACCGCGTAGCTGCATGGACGAAACTCGTTTTATGGACGAGATACACTGAAGGGCTTCAGCTCGTAAAGGGCAGCGTCCTCTGGTAGTGTTGTTACCCGGGAATGAGTTTCTCGCCACAGTTGAACCGACTCCCGCCCTCCCTGTGCGCCCGCCCGCAGATATATGTCATCGGAGAAGGGCCAGTCCATTATGCACCATGGGGAGGTTCGAACAACATCATATCACCATGGAGAAAGTTGACAATATACTAGTACACCTGACTAACACATTTTGCGTCATTAGGTTTACCAAAGGAAAACATACATGTATTGTTTTTGCTCTGTTTCCTCTTCTTCTTCTCCTCCGAACGAATGAGGTCAATGACCTGAGCCAGACGTCTGTCACCATGGTAACTTGCAATTTTATAGCAGGAGGGAAACGAGGGATTTAGACTCCTGTCACCATATATGTGAATATGTTTGAGTAAAAATTAACAGAGCAGACCATATGCGAAGGTAAACGTTATGCAATTGCTTTGTAAATAAGAAGTAGTTCTTTGTATGAAGCAGATTGGAGTTCTAATGTTTGCCATCTTGCCATACGAAAGACTACACTGTCCTCAATTTGCTGTCGTAAATCTGTCGTACAACGCCAGCGGTGTTAGGTGTACTACAGGCCCTTTATTTTGTCTAGGAAAATGCCCCTGTATCTGTACAAGCTGCCATGTGTTCGCCACACTGTAAAGAGGACGTCCCGACTTCGTCAGCCACATGAAGCCAAAGGTCTAACATTAACACCCACTCACCAAAATAACCCGGCTGACCTTCGCTCACAAACATAGGTTCTGTTAAAAACAGTCTCCTTGCGCTGCTAAACGCGAATGCATTCCAACTGCAATAAGTTTGATTTTACGGCCATTTAATGGTCGTTTAATGTGACGTTGATATCTGGGTTTCAAGAGGCTAATCCATTTTTGGCTTCCGTTCAACACGTGTTACCCAAAAGCGACACCTTGCGGTCAAGCTTTGCATAGCATATTTTGAAAGAACTGAAAACTAGTGGAAAGCACGAACTATTGAGTACCATATTCATAAAAATGAAAAGACAGCTGACGTACATTGACATTGTTTGCTTATGTTAATACGAGTAGTTAATTTCACACTACCGATCAAGATGTCCAACACTAACGTTACACATATATTGGCGATCTCTGTTCTTGGGGAGTTTCCCATTCGATGCGTCCTCAATGGCGTTCTAGAACAACAAAAAGTCGTTCCGAACGTATCCACGGCGACGCAAATAGTAAACAAACAATTGCTGCTGATGTAAGGATGAAGTTAGATGAGCTTAGTGTGTCGTCTAAGTTTCGGATATGTGTTTTATCATCCGCTACTCTTTACAGATCTACATCGTTGTCGTCGGGCTTGTGGCGTTCTCGGGAATAGTGGATAAACACTTTGACCGGCACATCGCCGCACACAGGACTCTGGCCAGGCTGCCGGCGGTCGTGGAGGATGGATTCAGACATTACCAGGTAACAGCGTTTGTATGTCTCTATAATACATACATATCCTATAAACCTGTTCGTTGTTGTGACAGGGCTGCCGGAACTATCAAATATATCCCCGTTTACTTTAACACCATAACAAACGTCCTCATAGTAAATTCAAACTCTACAACTGGAAAAATTACGGAGATAATTTCCGGACGTTTCGAGAGGCATGCACCAATCTTCTTCAACGTCACTTATTACTAGTAGTTCATTGTGACGCTGAAGAAGAGTGGCGGATGTCTCTTGAAACGTCCGGAAGTTATCTCCGTAATTCATCCAGTAGTAGCGTTTGAATTTCCTGTAAGTATTGTTTACCTGGATGTCTAACCTTCATCATCGTATCATAACAAACAGGAATACATGTACTATCACAGAGATGTTAGGCATATACTACCACTATCTTGTATCTGTGCCCCCTGTCTCCCCGCCAGTTAACAGATGACGAGACGCTGATCCTCGCCACGGTGAAGCAGCATGGCCGCGCGGGCCGGCCGGAGCTGGTCTGGTGCGGGCTGTACACGGGACCCAACCTCCCGTACAAACTCGCCAAGATGGAGGCGGACGTCGGCAGGGACAACTCCGTACTGTCGCGGACTGGTCATCGCTGGTGGGTTTGTGGTTTAAACATTTGAGACATAAGTTACAGCAAACTGTAACATGACTGACATCAGAGCAGGCTTCAGTCCAGTATAGATCCCATTTGTTCTCAAAAATGTTCTTCACTGAAGAACGGTCCCTGTCTATGACTTTTTAGTTGGTTGCTTGGTTTTTATGATCATCAACAAAGTGGTCGAAGCAGTTGACCAAAAAGCAAACTAAGACATCTTTAAAGATTCTTCTGTGTACTGAAATAATTTCCTTTCCCTGACAACTACATACAGACTACTATTCCTTATCCTCTTCAGGTACTTCGCCAGGGTACTGACCGCCTGTGAGAGCGCGCGGGGTCCCGGCCTCGACTCCGACCCCATCCCCGACCGTGACGTGTACCTTCCCGGCATGCCCCCTGCCCCACAGACGTGGTGTCAGCTGGGATCCAACATGGCGGCAAGTTTGTTCGGCACGGTGGCGTCTGTCATATGCCCGGCCGAGGATTACAAAGCATTTGGTTAGTTTTGTTGACAACACAACAGTCAACACCACTTGTTTGAAAAGCAGAACCTGCAATTGTTCTATATTGACTAGAAATGTGTTATTCTGCTCCATTCTGTCAAATTTTCGCCGGTATATCTTCCTGGCCCCAAACGAAGGCACAGGCATAGTCAAACTATGTCCGCACTGTACCTGTCCTTGGTGCTGAAATGTACCTACATTGTCATTACTGCCTTCATTCCTGTAATTGTCCTTGGGAAACTTGCGCTGACTCCTACATAGTTTTCTCAAATATGCCTGATAATAAAACATTTCAACTTCTAAGATGACTAAATAATTTCTACGTCATCGTAACTACACGGTCTCATCGAACATTGTATTGTAACAATGTATCACTACCCTACAGCGGAGCGGGTGTACCGAGAGGCCCTGTCCTTGGACAGAGCGGCGACGTTACTGGGGAAGGGCACCTACCCCGGCACACGGTACTGCGGGGCGGGGGATGGGAAGAGTAGGCTCATGGAAGGCGAGGGTAAGTCATTATAACTTTAAATGTAGCTATTTCTGTCTGTAAAAAGATAGCAATATAATGGCCAAAGGAGCAGTCTCGTACTTGTGTTAGCGGCAGTTGTCACTGAGTTGTGGCTAAGAATAATAGTAGCCTGGGTACCCATCCTCCGTAGTTTCCGCCGGCTCCCTAATGTCGCTGGCTGCCAGCGAATTATAGCGCTGTATTGTTGCATTCCATCATTAGTTGTCTTTTTCCGTAAGTTATCAACGTAACCAGCTTGTAATGTCCTGTTAGTGTACACGTCTGTTCATTTCCAGGCGTGTTAGACTCGCTAGACTCCTGTTGTCTGGACCACGTGCTGTGTGAAGAAGCCATAGCGCCCGGCCAGACCAGGTTCTTCCTGTACAACCCCGGTCCCCGCCCGCTTCTGCCCTGCTGGTGTGAGGCGTACTTCGAGAAGTAAGTTTGATAGTTTTCAAAAGTAACAAGATGATCATTTAAAGCGCTTCAGCACAGTGATGCTGCAGATGCGATGGTGTATGCCTGTGTAACATGCGTGTTCGCGCGCGCGAGAAGAGAGCTCACGGCTACAGCCAAATACATGGAAACAGACCTTTCCTCTGCAAGTAGTCAACATCTTTGGCAGTCTAACAACAAGTATTTCACTGTTTCGAGTCTATAGGGCACTGAAATGAAATCTAATCTTCGTAGTGTAACCAAATTCGGTACGCAATCAACACACAGTCACAGTCAAACTGTGCCCACGCTGTCCCTGTCCTTGGTGCTGAAATCTATCTTCACTGACATTACTGCCTTCATTCCTGTGATTGCATCCAGGAAACTTGCGCTGACTTCTATTCCTACTTAGTTTTCTCAAATATGTCTGATGATAAAACATTTCAAGTTATAAAATGACTTAATTATTTCTACGCTACTGTCAACAATATCATTTTTTTCGTGTTCGGAGAGCAGCAGTAACGACAAAGCTTTATCCGCCCGCAGATGTCTCCGAACGTTGAACACGTCTCCGTCGCGGGACGTGGGTGAGCTGTACTTTAACCACCTGGACGGCGCGTGTTACGAGCTGCAGCACAGGGCCGTGTGCGCGGGCGGACTGCTGGGCGTGTGCTGGCGGTGGGAGCCCAGACTGGTGGGGGTAACCCGGGAACTCTGGACCTTCCAGCCGTGATGATGAGGCATCTAACACCTTTCCGTGGTCATTGAGATTCAAAGTATTCCTGGGGATGATTCCATCGCCTAACATTTCTTTCAAATTAGTTGTTTACTTCCTTTGCTATCTTGTTAACGTCTTCCGCGAAGGTCTAACTTGCCACATTAAATAGATGAAATAACTTACTTTACGTTGTTTTGCGCTGCTCATGAGATTTTTAGAAACGGCATGTATGTTTCCTTTGTTTTGTTCCATATTGGTACTAGTATAACTGGTACAAAGGTAATAATGTAATAATGTGCTGAATGAAATCTTAAACATTTAATTACAGTAAAAGTATCATAAAGTACAAATATGAAAATTTCAACATTCCGAAAAAGACATTCGTTATCTTCTCAATAATTAAATAGTCATGTATGTATCGGTGTACAATATAAATATTTGCATACCACATCAGTTGTACTAAGTCACCATATAATACATTATCTACATGTGCTAAATACCCGCATTATGTCAGATCACGACGATACTTAACGCCATTACCAGGGTACGGAGTGCTGTTTCAGTGATGCTCCATGTCTGAACTACTGTACATCAAGTATTACTGGCGCCTCTTCACTTAGTATTCAACATCACTTAACTCAACACTTGGAGATGAATACGCAGGGTCTAAGTGTACGTAACAAGTGTTTTTGGTGTAATACTTACAACCAGCCGGTGCCACGTGCCTACAAAGCTGGTGTGTTATGCCTAAGCACGGTTAATTCAGCCTGTTACCCAATAGATAAACCGTTAGATCTTGTAGCTTGGGAACCTTGTTGTTCTAAGACCACAGATGTATCGTCGATTTTTAGTGACGTTTGTTTTTGGTGTGAAATACTACAATGTAGTATCCAACCACGGCCACGCGCCTGCAATCCCGGTGTGATACACCAGAGGGCGTTCTACTACACCAATAATTAACCAGTACAGTTACAGTTTACGACTTAATCATCATCTGGTAGAACTCCTCGTAGTTGATGTGCCCGTCGCCGTCAAGGTCTGCCTCGTCTATCATCTCGTTCACTTCCTCGTCTGTCAGTTTCTCTCCCAAGTTCGCCATCACCACACGGAGCTCGGACGCCGTGATGAACCCTGGGAAAATCACATTGAGTACTAGTATGTCAAAGGTCATTGGGTTGTCGGTGTGCCGCCATATTGGATGGTAGCTGTAGGTCACAGTTTTGAATGCCGACTACTCTCCAAGCAGAGGTAGGGTTACTCGGTATTTTGGCGGTATTTTCGCGTTTTTAATACGTCTTTCTACTTTTACGGTTTTTCTCTGGTCTTCCTCCCCTTGACCAGAGAAAAACCGTAAAAGTAGAAAGACGTATTAAAAACGCGAAAATACTGCCAAAATACCGAGTGACCCTACCTCTGCTTGGAGAGTAGCGTGAACGATTTTTGTCAAAGACATGATATTTTTTTTACTTTATATCGCATAGTAGTCATTACTGATCCAGAGTTCAACAAGGTTTTCTGAAGTGCTTTTGGCACTTGCTTAGGTTTTTATGCTGTTTTAACCTCCTTGTTGAAACCCATCATGTTAAAAGTGTGACCCTAAAATGACAACGTTTAATCACACAAAGGACAGTAACTATTGCCACTCCTACCGTTTCCGTCCTTGTCGAAGACTCTGAAGGCCTCCTGAATCTCCTTCTTGTTGTTTTCTTCCACCTGTTTCTTGGCCATGACCATGAGGAATTCTGGGAAGTCAATACTTCCGCTTCCGTCACTATCCATCTCACTGATCATGTCCTATAGTATAATTGTGAAGAGTTTCATCAGAAGACGGTGAAATCATAATTCTTGATGAAGAAAGTAACACACATATCAGCTATTGGAATGTGACGTAGGCTTCACACCTATCTCAGTACACCTGTTAAAATAGTTTACTTTCTTTGCTTTACCACGAAGTCTCATTTAATAGTTTCTCATTATTCATTCCTGGTCCTTTATCTTTCATCGTTATTTGATAATGAACATTACAGACAATTTGAAGTAAATGAAATGACCTACCTGAATGGTGCTGATCTTATAACAGTTATTGTAGTGCACTCATAAGCGTAGCAATTTACCCCAATTTGTCCCCTTCATCCAGACATTTGTCGTACAATCCGAAACGTTTGCTCCAAACATGACCAGAGGACAGTATTAGCAAATCGACGAGTATTACCATATCGTTCGGCTAACCTACCAGGACATACACATACGTGGCACCCTGCGTGAATACATGCCCCAAATAAGCTGTCCCCGGCGTGGTATTGAGATCTGACAAATATGGATTTGTGGCTTGTTAACCGCAGATATGGGGTCCGGTTATCGGTCCCTGCATAGTCATAGTTTCAGTAGATTATATCTGTTTTGCTTGCTCCAGTCCGGTGGAAAAGCTATCCCAATGTTTACGCCCGAAATGCTACATATGGCGTTGTTATGGTCTTTTTAAAACGTTATAGCAGGTCCCATTATGGGATCATTTTGATAAGCAAAATATAACTATCTAATGCGAATATAGATAACACAGCTTTCTACTTTGTCTCTTATATCTAGATACAGGTTGAGATATTATTTCTGTATAGCACCAAATTTACAAAGAGATTGAAAATTTGGCACAACGCTTCGTTATCATTCCGGACGAAAGCCCGTCCATACAGTATTATTTAACGTCTTGGAGTATGATACAAATAATGTAATGTTATGTAATCTCGGCATACTCAGAACCTTGCATTAACCAATGATACGATGAATACCAACGAAAAATCATTATTCGAAGTGTCTGTTATGTGTCTTACTATGAGCCAAAAGCCGAACTATAGAGGAACACATACGGTTCTTCCCAGCTTCCCATTGCTATATATTAATTTACAACACACGTCCCAAACGTACACATCTTACCTGTAGCTCAGCCAGAGAGGTTACTTGTCCCAGGTTTTCCATGACTTCTCCCAGCTCACGGGTCGTGATAGACCCGCTCCCGTCGGCGTCAAAAAGCGAGAACACCTCCTTGTACTCGGCTATCTGTTCTTCGGAAAGATGGTCTGCCATCTCCATCCGGCAACCACGGATGTGAGAAGCTCTATACACACTCCCAACAACCGGATTCCAGTGGCGGGAAGCACACTAATTGGTAGATGGGTGGAGACACTAATAGGTATAAACACTGCGTTTCCTAGGTACGGAACTCTCACTTAAATCCACGGAGCTGGAACGTTAATGAACACCGACTCTCTCTCTCTCTCTTTCGCAAGGTCAACGCTGAGCCGATACGATCGTTTGCAGAGACGTCAATCAAAACATGGCCGGTTACACTCGGCGGTGACGACAACGCGTCCTCACGCAGATAAGGACTTGCGTCAGAAGGGGAGAGATAGAACCGTGACCCAGATGCCAGTCGTTGCACACTTCCTCCTGGAAAGATTCTATCCTAGGCGTCAACAAGCTGTCTAAACAAGCTCAACGTTACAGGGATGTCGTGAAGAACGGGTCCTGTAGTCAGTTTTGTCACCATGTCCGGTTTTACAGATGACCGAATCATTCGCCCAAGGGGAATTTGCCCCAAATGGTTCGGGGCTGGTGCTACCATATGTCCCACCATATTAGCGGTGTGATTCGGCAGCGACTGTTATTTATCGCTGAGAAGCACTGGGTCGGAGTGTTATCTTCAGATGCGTATAGTCACGAGGGACCTCGACAAAGGGCACTTCTACATGTCCGTAATTTGAATCATGTGGAGGGACAGATTCTTTTATAATTATCTTGTGGTTGATTAGAAAACCGCACAATGGACTAGAGAGCTTTAGCTGGCGTAGAGACTATTACTTAGTTACGAAGTCAGTCTTGTTTAGCCACGGTGCACAGGAAATTTCGGATCACTTCATCTTAACCATGGGACGGAGATGTAATTGCTTCTGGAGGCATTTTGGTATTGTCCCCTTTGCTGATTAAATACGGTTTTCTGATTACAGCTTGTGCTGTGATGACTTCCGTTGGAAACCAGAGTTGTAACATGCTGGCGAACAGACAGTCAATAGCAGTCACAGCGGCAGTCAGAAAACGCCACCTGGAGACTGATGTTCATTCTTTGAAGATACACCAAGAAACTGGTGGAACATGCGTTTTGCTAGGGTTGATGCTAGTATTAAAGAAAGCCACAAGAGTCGTCTTAAAACAAATTCCTTTTTATTTAACCGTGAATTCAGAGATAGATGTTCAATATAGAACATTATGTTGGCAACCCGGTGCTTCAATATGCATATAGATACAGCCTCTTTGTTGCAAACGAGACCATACGGATGACGTCGAAGTTTTCTAAGGCCTCTCCCGCCAGTCATTCTCATACAAGCAAAGAAACAGACCGGTATTTAAGTACAAATGTACGAAACTTCGTGTACCTTTTGAGCTATTGCCGTATTGCTCACCGATTTTCACAGTTGTGGCGAAGAGAAAATCCCAGGTTGAACAGTTAAATATAATCATGGCTCATTTCATTACGACCACCATGCACCAATTTATACCAAGGTATATACATATAATATACATCGTCTAGTCATAAAAGAATCAACATACGCGTCCATGTCCGGTCGCCTGGTCTAAGGCCTAAGGGTGGTGCCCAATGGACAATCTAGATTTGGCGAACATTCAAGCTTTAAGCTAGTTTTAACAGCAGACAGCCATATAAATACGAACGATAATTTGTCACAATCGATTCGGTTCTAGAATCTACAAAATACAAGTCTGATTGCAACGCGTTTATGATATCACAGTTCGTCACAAAGCGGTCACATGCCAAGTCAAATGAAATATATAAGGAGATCCAATCTGATAGATTTGATTTGGATGATTTGATATCTTCAAAATGGACCGGGTTTTCACTGTACGGTTGCTTTGTTTACCAGCAAAGGAGGTAAAATCGTGTAAACAAAATCCATCATGTGTAACGTAGGGTTCGAAGGTACTCTGCCCTTTGGCTCTAATCTCCAAGCAGATGTATGACGTTCAAAAAGAATTCGGAGCCGCCTACGTCTGCTTGGAGACTACTCTAGAGATCGACTCAGGCTTTCGTCATCATGTCGTAGAACTCCTGGTAGTTGATGTGGCCGTCTCCGTCGATGTCCGCCTCGTCCAACATCTCGTCCACTTCCTCGTCTGTCAGTTTCTCCCCCAGGTTCGCCATCACTACCCGCAGCTCGGACGCCGTGATGAAACCTAAATCAAATCAAAGCAAATAGTCACAGTTGCATCTTTTTTCGTTGAAGAGGTTCATCAGTCACGTAAGATTAACAGTTAGCAGAAATTCATCAATCAGTGACTTGTTTGAAAGGTAGAAACACGTACCTCCGAACTTTCGATGTCTACTGTACATCTTGATCACGGAGTGACCTCGTCTCGATCTAGCCTCGTGTTCTCGCGAGACTACATGTAACGTTACGTCACTCCGTGATTAAGATGTCACTGATTGGTGAATTTTACTAACTGCATCTTTTTTGTTTTGGAAGGACCCCCCCCCCCAATAGCCTGGTTGCCATCCGTTTTGTAATGGGTCGTCGGGATAGCAAATGCAAAAGAGCCCCGTTACGAAACGAATGGCACCCAGGCTAAAAAAATAAAGAGAAATGGATGAGCAACTGCCGACCAAGTAAGTCGAAGCCCATCACCGTGGCAGTAGAACCAGCTTTGCGAAAGTGACGTTTTGCGGCGTCTGCGCTACACATTGATGAACGCATGCGCCGTCGCAATGACTGCTGGGTAAACCGCCATGGCGTGGTGAAGCGCCAATACGGCCAGTGCGTGACTATGTCCAGCATACTTTGTGCGCGGCTATGAATAGATTGTAAGGCGGTCCAGGAAAGGTATTAAAAAGCAAAGCGGAGTGTTATTGGGTGTGGGATGATGTTGGCTTTGGCAGCGGTGTAGGCAGTTGTTCATCCTTTTTTTCTCCAAGTCAGTTCATATGGTAGTGTCACATGTGTGTCAATCGAGTTGCTAATAGCTATTTCAAGGCTAGAATCTCGTCGCAGACCTAAGAAAAAGGGCCAGTAGTAAGATAAAGCAGTCAATACAAGTGTAGATACTTTGGTGTTCAACCTGTGAGGTTCATGATCAGACCATATGATGACTCCAATGGAATACCCATACAGCCATGAGCATGGACGAGGCGGTATGCGAGAGGCGATTTCCGACGCTTGGGCGACTTTCTGAGTGACCTAACCCTATCCTCACCAGAACATGCTGATGCTCTCGTGCCAACGGTAGCATGCAAGCCACCGGGCCAGACATACTGTAGCTCCCCTCCGGTTAGGATCAGGGCACTCACCTCACGGTGCTCAAGCGTAGAGATTCTTATTCCCTTACACTCAGGTTTTTGTCATCATCTCATAGAATTCCATAAAGTTGATGTGACCGTCGCCGTCGATATCGGCCTCGTCTATCATCTCACTGACTTCCTCGTCGCTCAGCTTTTCGCCCATGTTGGCCATGACAACACGCAACTCGGAAGCAGTGATGAACCCTGTGTGTGTGATGGCGAGATGGGTGAGAAAGCATGCATTATGGGTCATGATGTCACTTCCGGTCATGGCAACGTCACGTCTGGTTAAGAGCTAGAGGCATGTGTCTTTTCTCTTGTCCCCGAATTTGCTACTTCGGGACAGTTGTGAAAGTTATGCTTTTGTGAGAAAAAATGGCACCGTTATGACCTATTTCGTATGTGTTATCACCTGAAAAACGTGCCGGTTTCCACAAATAAATGGTTTCTAGGACTGGCTCAACTGACTTCGTTGGGGTGGTGGTGGGGCAAGGAAAGATAACTACGATACTACTGGGATAACTACTGGGATTTGTATGTAATAATAGGATGACGGTAAGATTCATATTTAATTTACGGAATTTGGGAAATAGAGGGAGTTTTCATGACTTGGGATGTAATGGAAATGGAATGACTGCGATAAAAAATTCAACCAAGGAGATTATAGGGAGCAACTAAAGTAACTTATAATTGTACATTCGTACGAAAAGGTGGAATTTGTGTGTGATGAGTTGATGGTACACAAGTAGGGGTTGAACTTAGGTTTGGTCAATCGTGAGAGCGGCGCGATCTGCAGCAAACGGGAGTGGACAGGGGAGGGATGCGGTTGTTGTTATTCTGGTTATCGCTGCACGCAGTGTTAGCTGTCTGCCAGTTGTAGCATTGTTTATCATAGTTTAGAACGAAATATGTTTATTAATAATCCAGATTTGTCCTTTCGATCCCCCCTTGTATGTTCGTAAGCTAAGTAGAGTCTCTATTACCATTACTGACCTAAAATGTGCATTACTAACTGCCTTTATGGGGATATAAATGCTGTGCTAAAATGTGGGTTTGTTGTGTTTTTTAGGGGAAATGTTAGGTACATGTATATCCCATGTGATCGGCAGTATTATATAATAGTATTAAACATTGGCGTTTCGAATTCTTTCGCACTAGCTAGTCTATATCACGTATAACGAACGGCTGATGCGTAAAATATATCATTATACTTATAGTTAATATCATTTTACAATTATTTTATATGGGTTGCTGTCGGTTGTAGACCAGTAGTTCGTACAATTGCAGCCATAGTCCATGCCGTCGAGTTAGCCCGGTACCGGTTAGTACGTACTGTCAAAGTTGGACAGTAGAAATCAAACCACATTACCATTGCCGTCCTTGTCGAAAACCCTAAACGCTTCTCTGATTTCTTTCTCGTTGTCGGCGTCACGTTGTTTTTTCGCCATGACCATGAGGAATTCTGGAAAGTCTATCGTCCCGCTGCCGTCGGCGTCCATTTCGTTGATCATGTCCTGCAAAAAAAAAGAAAGTTCCGTTGTTTGCTTATATGTGTTGTATGTGAATGAAGTTACGACATTTTATCATTTCATTTTGAAAGTGTAGGGATCTTTTTTATCATTCATCGTTGTCATTATTAATATGATCCTTTATCAGTCATCTAATCTTTCGTAAGTGCTCCATGGCCAGATGTATATGAAGACACCGTTTCAAAAATCCTATTCACAGCACTGAAATGGCGTATGTGTATAGCTAGCATAGCTTGAAAGATGCTATGTTCAGATCTGTCCAAACGTACCAAATTTGGCACACAACCAGTTGCAGATATTATAACTCCCATATTAAATTAAATGCAGTCCTTCATCTTTGCTTTTCTCATAAAGAGTTTTCTTCGAACATTAATGGTTGATTTCGTACTTTGTGACCCGGATGTGTCATGGCGGCCCCGTATCGTCGTTAAACTAAATATGTACATGCCACACTGGGGCAAAGATAACACCGCGTCACAGTTTGCATAGCACTCCAATCCCCTAAGGCAGCTGTGTTGCCAAAAATACTGGTCTAGACGTAAATCATTACACGGTTTACTTTCTAAACTACACAACAAAAAGACGCGAATATAATGTTTTGGGGCTGCGATCAACACTGATGCACGGGAGAATAGAGTAAAGATTTGACAAATGCTACAGGCTATATCAAGTTCAAATTTCAATGACATTCTACTCCTCTGACGGCTTCAATTGATTTTTGCCGGTCGTTTCGGAGTCCTCTGAAGGACTTAAATCCTTTAATCCCTTTGGCATTTCTAATCAAGGACCATTGCTATTAAAATCTTAGCCGGTATCATCCGGAGCAGCAAAAATGTCGGCGTGTCTGTTACTGGTAGCATGCTGTTGAAAAAAGAGTCTCACAAAATTGAAATGTCAAACAACATTTTGGAAAAACTTACTATTGATTTACTTTAGTTCCAACTGACAGCGATGGTAAAACGGGACTACATCTAGGTTACATCGTTGTGACGTATTTTGTTTTAAATTTTGTTCAACAATATCAAAATAAACGCCCCCTTTTGATGTCGTACTAGCGATTGCGTGCATTGAGCCTGATAACCATCTATGTATCAACTACCATCTAAGTAGGTAATCAATGAGCTGTCTTGCTCAATTTTCTGACTTAATGACTTAATCTTTGACATGAGGTCTTGGAAGCTCTTGTATGTACAATATCTCACAAAAGATGGAGAGCAGAGTTACGTTCCTCGTTCCTCGATACTGTCGTTTTTTCGATGACAATCGACCAATAGCAGATGTCACCGTTGACAGGGTACAGAGTACATTTTCCAATGCTTGGATCGGTTGCTTAGATGCTGATTTTGTTTTTCAGTCCTTCAACTTGAAACCTTTCCAAGGGCAGTAGCCTGAGACATAAAGCCCTTTTTAGGCTGACCGGTCAATATTGTATTTCATGAGAGGTCATGATCATGTCTAAATTATTAGGCTACCACATACGTCGTATGCTTGGTTGGACGGCACATTGGAGATGTTCTTGGGAAGTCGTGAACGTGTCTTACAACTACTCTCCAAGCAGAGGTTGTGGGGGAATGATCGTTAGCTTTTTATATATGGCCCTTTTTTGTCGGTACCCCCACCAACGTCGGTGGCCGGCGACCTTCTTTGGCTAATGGATATTGTCTTGCCACCGAAAGGGATCTGCTTGGAGATTATCTTACAACCTCATTCAGCTGTCTTGCGACGGGAAACGTTGGCGTAGATCAGTCGGTTCTGTCATTAACCTTGCTAAACATTGTAGGGCAACAACATCGTAGGGCGTATGTGGCCGCACTGCCGCCTTGAACAACACACTGACACAAGTACTAGTACAAACCTGCAGCTCGGCAATAGTTGTGTGGACTCCCAAGTTACGTAACACCTCGCCTAGCTCGTCTGACGTGACGTGGCCGCTGCCGTCTCGATCGAACAGAGAGAACACGTCCTTCAACTCCGCGATTTTGTCCTCTGTGAGTGTGTCCGCCATTTTTCTGGTACGTACTTAATCGGTGAAACTGAACTTGTTCTACCGCTGCTGTCCCCTCTTATATGGTAAAGGCCCACGTATGTGCAGCTTCCACGTAAGCCAGTCCTATCTAGAATAATGTGGCAGGGATGGCGACTATATTAATCATAGGGAGTTGCCTTGTGAATATTTGGTGACAACCACGCGGACAAAGACCCTGAGATAATCTTATTTAATGTGTGGACGTTGGTTTCCGTTTACTGAAATAGCGTTTGTGTTTCTTGCAAAGCGTCAGAGGAATAATTATAGTAACATGTGATAAGTTCAGTGACTGAAAGATAGTCCACATTGGGTATGTATCATTGTGTATATGGCCGTGTGTATATGTCATCTGGTCCTAACTGGCTTGAGTCTCTGTTTGACGCCCCTTGGGACTGAAAAACAGTAAAACGTGGCATGATTGTGCGTACACTTGGCCGGAGTATCCAGCTTCCGACTGAACCTTATCCACTTTTCCTGGTATTTTTTTCAGTCGTCAAAGAAGTCCTGTGGAGACAGACCTGAACCGGTTAACCAATGTCCATCGTTGTTGACACTTGCGAACTTGTTGACACTTAACTTGGGTACCACGCAGATGGCGATTATCCACCAGTTGTCACACGGTGTATCAAGATGATGACGGTATTCCATCAAATGACTTGGTTATTTTTACAGTCCACAATGAGTCAAGAATAAGGTCTTTACAATTCACAAGAAAAACATCACAGTAAAACAATCTGTTCTTATGACGACATGTTCCTTGTGATGACCTGGGCCGGCCTGTCCCATGTTGTTCGTGACGTCACCATGGAGTTCTAGAGTGTATTGACACCCGGGAGTCTGTATTAAAACTGACAGATCATGTTGTAAAGATAAGACTATTTAAAATTCTACAGTTTACAGTGTAACATGAAACCCGCCGGGTGACCTTTTTACATCCACAGACGTTCGCGAGAGATTTACGTCCAGGCCAAATAGAATCTTATATCTGTTTAAAAGCACCGCTGTTTTGTAAGCTTTTATGGTGTTTATACTGCATGTATATTTATCCATGAAGAGATTTTATTAGACGTAAAGTTATGCTTAAGTCAGCAATATTGACATGTTAACCTGTGGCTATGATTGACGGTTTATTTGACGGTTTATTTTATTAGGGGAGGGGCCGATCTCCAAGCAGATATTGGAAGGGAAGATCGTACTATTCTGTATTTTGTCCCGATTTTCTGACGCAAAGGCCCTCCAGCATCTGTCGGGCATTCGCTCAGGAACGGCGGCTTCTTCCTTTGAAAACTGGACAAGCCCTCCCGACATCTGCTTGGATATGAGTTAGTCGATGATGGGGTGAAAAATCGTAATGTTTTCTGATGGCTACGCTTCTCTGGCAGCCCTTTGCCTAGTGGACTGTCAGGAAATCGGGTTAGCCAGAAAACGTTACGATTTCTGCCCCAAAATCTGCTTGGATATGGGGGGAGGGGGTAATACAGTGGTCCATGTTTGGAGGAGTGCTTGATATGATGATGGGGTCAAAGACCGTAATGTTTTCTGATGGCTAGGCTTCTCTGACAGCGTAGTGGATTGTCCCTGTTGGCCAGAGAAAGTTAAGATTTCTGCCCCCAACATCTGCTTGGATAATACAGTGGCCCATGTTTGGAGGAGCCCTTGATATGATCTCTGTTTACAGAGCCCGTCGCCTCCAGCCCAAACACCACGGCAGCGGCACGACCCCGGCCTTTAACTCCGACAACAAGTCTTTATATCAAACACCACTTTGGACATGAACAGTGCAGCTGTCAGACTAATCGACCAAGCAGATGTATAACTCCAGCTCGTATTGTCTGCGTTTTTGCAGCGTTTTGTAACTTTTCTTAAGCGGTGCAGATAGAAGATATAAATAGTCAAAAACGCACACCACTTAAGAGAGTTGAAAACATTGAAAGAATACGACGTGCCAAAAACATGCTGACGCCATACGTCTGCTTGGAGATTGCTGTCAGTGTCGCCGCCCTTTGTCATGTAGTACTGTTTAGTAATATTCATAGTATATCATAATCTTCATGACATTACATCCGCAAAGAGGCTATGTTTTGTACTCGAGCTCCCACGCTACTTTGAGAAGGAATGGTCAAAACCGTTAAAACAATGCTACTAAAATATAGTCTTTTTCCTAAAGGGGCTATAAAAACTTTAATACGCTTCGTAGATTGTTTGTTGTTGACGATGATACCGATAAACAACTTTTAATCATTAATTAGTATTCATTCCTACGAGCACTCGTGGCATGTCGGCTATGTTAGCGAGGCACGCACTACAACAAGACTTAGCAATGTGTGTAAACAAACATCTCCATCTACGTATACACCCTCCTTCTGCGGTTTATCTTTCTCATCCTCTCTGTCTTTACGTTCCCGTACAATATCTCAAAGTTATAACTTAAAATAATTGCTTTTGACAACCCGTCGTGTATTCCCTTCCTGTGTTCTGCCATTTTAGTAAACACGGTGAGCGATGTCTAGGTTGACATTATGTGAGGTAATATAAAGAATGCTTTATATAGATGAGTTGGGGCACTGATGATGGTAACATATTCTTCATAAAACGGTATTTTACATGACTCACCTGCAGCTCTGCTACTGAAGCGGCGCGGCCCAGTCCTCTGAGAACACTGCCTAACTCCTTGGTGGAGATATATCCGTTTCCGTCCAAGTCAAATAGAGAGAACACATCCTTGAATTCCGCGATCTGCTCCTCCGTTAGAACGTCCGCCATTTTGAAGGCCCCCCGCGCAACGGTCCCGGGAATTTACGGTGCGGCGACTACAGATGTCTGCGTCCTCTCACATCCACAAAACCCGGCTCTTACTCCTCCCGATGACAAACGCTTGTCGTGATGAGCAAAATTCCTCCGATAACAGACTTCCTGCGAGTGAAAGAAGCAGCTTTTTGTGAAGGTTTTTCCCCCAAGAGAGACAATTCCGGCAATGCTCACCTAACACGCGCACCTCCCGAAAATAGTGAGTTGTGTCAAGGCGACGTGACAGACACTGAACTTTCCAGCCGTGTTGTTTCAGTTGCCGCCTGTCCTATCGCGTTACCGGGATGGCACTGGGAAAAGGGTCACCTAAAACCGGCATCGAATACTTGTTGTACATGTAATATCATCCACAGCTTGTTACGCACAACATATGCTCAATACATCCCATACATAGGGTTTATCCATGGGTAATACAAGTAGGACTTACTTTTTGGTACATTCAGGAACGCGTTGAAACATCATCAACAAAGAGCTAGACGAATGTCGGTGAGCATGCGCAGCACGTCGGTGTCACGGCGAGTGACGGGTTTAGACAGAAGAACCCCCGGTGACTCCACTGGACTCCACTGTGGTGCTTAACAAGACACAGAGACGACATTTGCTGTCATGCAGTCATCTACGTTTGTTTGCCTGTATGCAGTTGTGAAGTTCAAACGCAAACAGTTAAAGCCCAAAACAGACTATCAAAAGAAACCGTAGAAAGAAGTCGACATAAACAGTGTGTGTGTTTGGAGGGGGATGTAGGGGATACCAATTTCCTAGACTAAAACCTGCCATGGTCTGATGTGCTTAATCTGAACCTTCAAACGATACACAACCATTCAACGACAGACTTTTCAGAACATGTCTTACAAAGTAACCGTTGCCCATCTTAGCAGATGCACTCACGTGGGCCGTAACGTGTATTTAAATGAGTCGACTGACAGCGAGTCTACATACCAGTAATAATTGTCTGACAGGGACCTTTCAGGCACATTCCGTCAGATTTCTCCTGCGACATCCATGCAGCTTAATCCACGGGATTAACCGGTGCATTTTAGATACATCTGATGAAAGAATGAAACAAATTGGTCGGTCTCATTCTCAGACTTTTTGCTAAATAGAAAAGTTCTGTTTTGTGCTATAAACAACAAAGAAACCAACATGCCAACAAATAAAGCAAAGCTGTTAAAAAAATGACAGTGCCATTTGACGAAGTTGGCAAATATGATAACAGACTGGCCCAGGCTTATAGGTTGCATAGCCTCAATTTGTTTATGCCGTTATGCAATCTTGAATACCTGCAGGTAGTTTTTCATTGAGGTCATGACAGAGGAGGCAGTGGGAGCAAGAAAACTTGTGCGCGGTTTGAAAGACGCAAAAAAGGAAAGACTAAATCCGAAGTCATGCATCTGCTTGGATATTAAGCCTACAACAAGCCAGCGAGTTGATGTAAGTCGATACCACTGCATCTCTCCATATATCCCCTCTCATGTTACACCAGCTATGGGCAGGTCAGGGACTCGGTAACACTATCCTCACGGGGTAAGCCAGCAACGCAGTTGTCAGAGTCTTTGCCTGGGGGCAGGAATAAAGCAAGATCTTGTGGAAAACTGACTGGCAGATTCTCTGTCGTCTTCAATGACGTCAGTATCAAACGATGATGTTGTGCCTCTAGGACTGTACCAGTGATCTAACATGACGACACCTTTAACTATTCTCCACATGGATATTGAGACAAATATTGAGACTGACGAGAACCGGCCTTGTTTGCTTTTTTGACAGTTCTATATTATCTTTTTATTTACATGTATTTCACAATAGATTCAATATCATTACAAGGGCAGCCATAACCTTAGGCTGAATATTATTGAGTTAAAATGTACTTAAAGGGAATACGCTACTAAATACGTGAAGTTATGCACGACCATCTGTTGATTCAACATTCACGTTGTGAAAGAACCATTCCTATAGGATTATTGCGGATTGGCGTAGCGTTTCATCCAATTTAATACCATTGTGGCGTCGTCCACACAAGCTGTTCATGGGGCTATGGCGCATTACGGAGAACTAAGGGCGTCGCAAAGCAGCTTGCGAGTTGTGGAAAATCGCTGTCAGCGTTTGATATACTGTAGCGTCACCCGAGTTGGAATCCTGGACATATCTCTGGGATACTATTAGCAGTGCACTATACATTTACCTGTTGCACGTTGCAAAGCATCGTCCAACATGTTGAAGAGTCCCTCCAAAAATATAGCGTAACGTTTCAGCTAACTTCATCCAGGGCCATACATTGTAGCCGCCATCAGACGAGCGTTTAAGGTGTCAAAAAGCAGTGTTTATAATATGGAAAGAGTTACAATGTTTCATCCGATTTTGTACATTGTGGTGTAGAACTCCTCGAAGTTGATGTGTCCGTCCCCGTCACTGTCTGCCTCGTCTATCATCTCATCCACTTCCTCGTCTGTCAGTTTCTCTCCCAGGTTCGCCATCACTACCCGCAGCTCGGACGCCGTGATGAACCCTGGGAAAATAACGGAAAGATGACCTTGAGTCTGAAGGTCATGGGGTTGTCGGTGTGCCACCTGATGTTAGAAAGCCGCTCCATAGTGTTAGAAATCAGCTGCACGTCACCGTCTGGGATGCCTAAAGCTGTGAAGCAGTTCAAAGATGTGGTAGTAGTCACGTCAAAGATGTGGTAGTAGTCACGTGAGTGTAGTAGTCACGTGAGTGTAGTAGCACGTGAGTGTGACGTCATCTAGCGCCGCCATGTTGGTGGGTTAAAGACGCTGTGGTTAAAAGCTGTAACAGCCGAATCCGAGTGCCTGGTCTGACATTCCTTTGGGTTACAACGAAGCTCTGAGGAACAGAAGCAAGGGTCAAGCTTAAGAATTAAGGAAAGGCAGAGGGAGAAGGAAAGGCATAGGAAGAAATGGGCAGAGAACAGCTGCAGTCCTGGTGCTGTCAGCAAGGAGGTTATAGGGAGCTGGTGCACCACAATCACGCAGCGCCCCCACAGAAAAGAGGGACACCAAGACCATCAAGGACAAGGTGCTGTAAACAACGGCATCGTGCGACATATAGAAGCATTGCAGCGTTTTGACGTCACGTCTTATCAATTACGATCCACGAGAAGTTCATGAATATGGAAAGATCGATTTATATCTTTTGCGTCATGCAATCCTTTTATACGTATGTATATATTGAAATACTAACCACTTATATTTAATATATTACTGGAGAGAAAAAACACATTGTAGACAGCCGGGAAAGAGACAGCTGAGTATTCGGAAGCTTTGGGTGATTTTTCACTGCCAAGTCATGCAGGTTTGATTTGGTGTGCGGGAAGATTGTATAAGGTGAAAATGATTTCTCAATTGCTTTGCTCGTTAGTCAGTGACAGGCCCGCCCTTGTTTGGGAAGTGTTAGCATTGCGTGAATGGCCGAGATGCTAGGCGCAAATTTGTGTGAGGGTGATATGGCCTGATATGTTGTTGGGTAATATTTCACAATGTGCCGCTGCAATGTTTCAAAGCGCTGCATGAACTTCATTGTCTTCAAGCAGATGTATGTCTTTGTCTTGTTTGTTTGTTTGTTTGTTTGTTTGTTTGTTTGAAAAAACTTTCTTTTGCAGCTCTCTTTGATGATATCTTTCGTACGATCTGATATAATTAAAGTTGGAGGCAACAGACAAGAGGTGGGTATCACTTGAGAGACGAACAGAACTCTGCAAAAAGAAATTAGATGCACCTACTCAAGCCAAATCCATACATCTGATTGATCCACATTGTATATGAGTTTGTGGGCGCAATCATTGTTCATTTATCTTACAAAGGTTTGCTTTGCATTAGGATTGGGGTCAGGCACGGTTCTGGATAGTCTCCGCATATCCTACTCTCCAAGCAGAGGTTGTGGGGGAATGATCGTTACATTTTTATATATGGCCGTTTTTTTTTGTCCTGACCCCCACCAACCCGTCGGTGGCCGCGGAGCTTCTCTGGCTAATGGATACTGCCTGACCAATTTGATGCTGTCTTTTTGCCACCGAGAGGGATCTGCTTGGAGATTGGCATATCCAAGAACAGTTGATTTGCCGCAGGCACGGTTCTGGATACGCGAGGACTATCCAGGACCGTGTCTGAGCATGGTTCTGGATAAAGCACGGTTCTGGATACAACAGTAACGTTAGGCCCTGGCAATACTCTGACACCCTGGGTAACCTCCCCTACCGTTCCCGTCCTTGTCGAAGACTCTGAAGGCCTCCCTGATCTCCTTCTCACTGTCTGACTCCTGCTGCTTCTTGGACATCACCAGCAGGAATTCTGGGAAGTCTATCGTGCCGCTGCCGTCGTGGTCCATCTCGTTTATCATGTCCTGATGAGAGGAAATACGTCATCATTATTATTAACATTGTGTGTATAGAGTATATATTGCCCACTGAGACCACCAAGGGAACTTATAAAATCCAGTCTAAGTGAGGTGGTCACTATAGCTAGGACTGTTGTGTCAATGTGGAAAATTAAGAGACCACCAAAGAGACGACACATTGACCAGTGGTCCTTATGAAGAGGTGGTCACAGGTTTGCATGCATCTGGTAGGTAACGCAGACGTTGGGGTGGACCATTCGGCTTTTCGAGCGACGTTTCTCTACATCTGTTGGGGTATATTGAACTGCCAGGAAAGCTTCCTGGTCAGAAAACTGATTGACGATATTAGTTACCGCCATGTTTGTGACGATATCATAGCTGAGGTCATATAAATTGTCACCGTAACCTGGTACGTTTCTCATCTCTTGACCTGTGACACAGAGACCTCACCTCTGAACTGATCGCCCGATGTTGTTTCGTCTATTTGTGGACGGCAGTTGACATTAGAATGTAGACCAAACGTTCAGAAGGTCACGTTACATGTACATATCGATTCTATTACAAAACTGCCATCCACACTTTACAGTACATGAATAACAGCAGTACAAAGTCGTGACAGTGTACGATAATGTTAAGGTTCACATTTATAGCTCTATCCGTGCTTTCTGCAAATTACGAGGAGCGCTCTCTACCCCCGGCATGTGAAGTACTTGCGACCAATGCAAACACGGCATGCCTGTCGGTCGTTTTAGTAACAACCCGGATTAGCTGTCTGCTCCAGCCGGCATTCAACCCTGGCCGCTTCGCTGCCAAAAATTCAGCCGAGAAGCCACCGGGAGCTAGACTTGGATGGATACCAATGGATGGACACTTTGATCTGCACCAGGGGCTAAAAGGCTCTAAAACGACCAATAAGGTTTCACCCTAAGCGAACATACAATCCTGCAGTGCTGAAATGTGGACACCCATCCCCGTCAACCGTTTGGCAAGTCACCAAGACTGCTCAGCGCAAAGAAAACTAGCCTCCACCAGGCCTTTCTACGGGAATACGGATAGTAGAATTCGGGAAAAAAGAGAGTAAAATTGGCCAAGGGAGTCCGGCCGCTGGGAGGTACTAGTAGTTTCTTAAGGCGGTCTAACCCCCCTGGCAAATGTTCTCCTATATATAGCCGGCGTAGTTAGTCTGGTAGAGACTAAAAGAAAACAGATAAACCCGGTATTGGCTATATCATTTCTGGTAGCCTGTCCTTGAGAGTCATGATGCCCGTCCTTCGGAGTCATGAACTCGTGTAGCCTAAATACTTCCACGAAAATAACCCGTGGGCGACGGGAGAACGTCGGTCACTTCATCACGTCACATGATAAGGCTTTAAAAGCTTGTTTGGTAAGCCAAAACTAAAGTAGAGTTTTAAAACTGCATCGGAATGAGAGACACTGATGGAGCAAGTAAGACCTGACGGAAGTTGTCTGCTTGGGTTACAAGGGTCAGTCCTTGTTTAGAGTGTTGTCCTTTGTAGTTGCCCTGCCATCGTAACTCAAAAAGGCGTTTAGCCTCCAATTAGGTGGTCAGAATAGATTTGTGGTTTGACTGCTTTGTGGTCTGAGCTTTTCCTATCAGAGTCGTAGATATACATGCCTGATATGAGCTCCTCAGAGTCAGGGTTTTAAAAAAAATCAGCCTTCAGATCTAGACCTTCCCCTGAGCCTACTCATTAGCTGTGGATGTTAACCTCGTCTCAGTAGTATAGAAATGGACACCTAGTGCAAAAATAACCCTTCGTATCTCTTCCTCCTGTTCCCAATGCCTGCTCTGTAAGCCGAGTTATCGGTATGGCGCTGGCGTTATATCTCGTCTATGTCAAACCAGGGCATCCAGTGTGAAAATTAACCCAAAGGATGGCCTTCAAAACCCCTTTCTGCTCTGTGATAGGGTAGCTATTGAAGGGCTTCCATCTTGCAAAAGTTAGCCTAGGTACCATCCTGCCTAGTTTGTGTACGCTCGGATAGTCGCTACCTACCAACCAGACTATGTAGAAGTAGGATATCTAGCTAGTGCAAAAATTATCCCTAGCAAAAAGGTTTAATGAAGAAATGCCATCTATATAACAACATCATAAAGCGAGAACTCTGACTAGACTCCTCTACATCCCAGCGGCCCTCTGCGGGGGAAATATCTCGATATGGCAGTGATTTTAATCTCTCCAGTGTGAAAGTAGGACACCAAGGGCAAAAATAACCCTTAGCAGCATGGTAGCACGGTCGTCAATTCAATAGAGAAGTCCAGATTATTATAGCACTCAGCACGATGAAGTTATAGCGGTGACAGAAGACGTGATATCGTGTCTGTATCTCCACTCACAGCTACTGTGTAAGATGTCATTCCTCTCAGCACCTTCAATATGTGCAATTCATACAAGCTCCAAGCAGATGTGTGAGGGCACCGACGTGTTTTTGTAGCGTTTTGTGTGTCACTAAAATGGCGCGCGTTTTTCCACAAGCATACATGGAGAGACGGTCACCGCGGCTAGAGTCGTACACAACTCTGTAAAGACACGCACAGAACAAGCCTGAGCTTAGAGAATTACACCTAACACTGAGGGCAAGTCGTCCGTAAGCTTCGCACTGATGCATTAAACCATCGCTGATGAAAACATGACTTGCCTGCAGCTCCGCCAGCTCGGGTTTGTGTCCCAGGGACTCCATGACTTCCCCCAGCTCGCTCGTCGTGATGGACCCGCTGTTGTCCTGGTCAAACAGACCGAACACTTCCTTAAACTCCGCGATCTGCTCCTCAGAAAGCGTGTCCGCCATGTCTTAGCTTTCCGGCTGCTCTGTCTTCGACTGGGCTCCGCGGCTGCTTGTTTTGGGTGGATAAGGAGAAGGCGCTGACTTAAGAATCTGAAGACGGCGCGGAATTCTTGAAGCACTCCCCTGGCCTGGCACGGCAGACTCCGAGGAACTTAAGGCTAAAACATCCGGGTGTGGAGGAGTAGGCGCTACATAGTGACGGTGTCCCTGTTTGGGTAGGGACTTGGTAGAGCCTTCGCGCTGAGAGCCACTAGAGAAAACTGCGGCCGCTAAATATAGGAGGTCGGGCCAGTTATGGCGATAATTACCGCACATTGTACACAAGGCGGAGCCGCAGTCGGCTGAGCGCCAAGCAGATGTTTGTTTTCACGTCGTCTTCGTCACAGTCACACACGTCGTGCCATGGTTTCTTCGTTGGATTGTCAGTGAGGCTGACAAACCCAGCGACAGCGAATTGTCAGCGACAAAACCAATCGGCGACAAGGCAAGCGAATTTTATAAGCTGGGTTACGTCGGAGCTACACATCTGCTCGAAAATGAACGTTTAGACGTATCTCCAAGCAGATCCTACGGTGGCGGGGCAGTATCCAATCTGCCAAGCACCCTGCCACTGAAGGATCTGCTTAGAGATAACGTTCGGACGTCGGAGAGAGCTAGCTGTTTGTGACATTTGAATGACTGTCATGTTCACTGTGAAGAGGCGAGGCGGTCTATTTTTGTTTTATTTTTCACGGGCGATTAGCATCAAAGCATCTGTTCATATAAATCACATTTTTACTGCGGCAAATGGACAGCTGGTGCTGTGGCTATCGGGCAGTTGCTGACGAAATAACTGAGAAATATCACAGGTTTCCTCTATTGCCATTGTTATGTCGATCGGTCAAACGGATTCTAACACACACGCACGCACGCACACACGCACGCACGCACGCACGCACGCACGCACGCCCTTCCTTGGGGTGATGTAAAATAAACACTCAACCAAATCGAAAGGACTATTGATCATATTCTGGAAATTAAAAACTAAATTTACACGAAACGCTCTTCTTTTTTTTTGCCAGATTCTAAAACTTCCCGTCTATGTTCGCAAGGTAGACGTTATTGTCGTTCGCACAGCAGGCCAATAGCCTGCCATCCGGGGACAGCCTGCAGCAGAACAGTTCCTCCAGGTCAGGGTCGGCAGCGGCGCCGCTCGTCACCTTCCCGGCCTGCAGGAGCTGTCTTCCCGAGACGGGGTCCCACAGCCGCACGGTCCTGTCGCTGGAGCAGGTGGCGAGGACGAGCCTGTCGGCGGCCGAGGTGTGGAGGAAGCTGCCCGACCAGACGGTGGAGGTGTGCCCGGTGAGAACGCGAGGCTCCGTCAGCGTCCGGGTGCACCAGATCTGCACGGTCCCGTCAGAGCAGCACGTGGCCAGGAGACTGCCGTCCGGAGAGAAGCTGACAGCGAGCGCCCATTTTGGACCACCTGAAGGAGAGAAGAAAATCGTTCAGGCCCATGATGTACAAAACAAGCTTGGCAACTGGCAAGAGCCATCTAAGCAACCAATGGTAAAGGTCTTAAAATTCGTTCTTTCCTCTATAAAAGTATAGAAATGGAACATGTTGTCATCAAGTATGGTAGGGGCCTGTGCAGATTTGCTGTAATCCTCAGTTACACATAAATGCTTTGCACACTAGAAGGACAAGTCCCCCAGCATACGAATTTGCCCCAGCATACGTTTCGCTAGGGAACAGTCAAACTGTTTGGCCAATTCAGACTTAAGATTCAGACCTTTGCCTTCGAGGATTTTGCACTGAAGGTCGTTGCCGCCAACTCGGCCCGTCCAGAGTCTCGTGGTCCTGTCGCGAGAACAGGACGCGATCTGGAAGTTGGGGAGAGGAGAGTCCGGGTCAGGAGCGAAGGCGAGATCTTCTACGGAGTTCTTATGGCCCACCAGTGTCGCCTGAAACACGTCGTACTCCCGCCAACACCAGATCTTGATGGTCCTATCCACGCCGCACGCCGCCAGGTAGTTAAAGCAGGGCGAGAACCTACACCTGTACAGCGACGTCGGGAAGCCGTGCGCATCCTTGCTACAGAAGCTCCTCACAAGGTGCCCTTCTGTGGTCTTCAGGTTTCCTTCTCTGTCTCTCGGCGGCATCTTCCAGACGTGGACCCCGCCGGAGTCGGTACAGGTGCACAAGAGGCGACCGTCTCGACTGAAATCGCAACTCCAGACGGCGTTCGAGTCCGGGTGAGAGAGGACGGCGACTGCCGGGTACCCTGGTTTCGTCAGGTCCCACAGTCGGACCGTCTCGTCGCCCGACGACGTCGCCAAAAGCCGGCCGTCCGGCGAGAAGCTGCAGTTCTCTATCCACTCCGAGTGCCCGCGAAGGGCCGTCCAACTCAGCACGGACATGGCGATAGGAATAGGAAAAGTATGGAAACTTCCGAGTTGTGTACACTCTACAGCCGTGGCAACCATAGAACGAAACCACAAAGAACAAAAGAACAATGCTCCATTGGGTAAAGTTTGATATTCTAGAACTCTATCCAGCAGTTCCAAAAACTTGGGGGCAAGGATACATGTACTACAATCTCCTGTAGTACCAACAGTGATAAATAGAGGTCGCTTTTGATCGGTGCAACCGAACGAAGATTGTAGTACATAATGAATGCGTCGAGTACTGAATAGCTGAACCTATCACTTAGTATTAGTGTAGTAGAATGAATAGGCTCGTGTACAAACTAATTTCCCAGACGATATAGAATAATGTAAAAAAAAAATATGTTTCACATAGATAAGAAGCAGTCATTCCCAAAGGACTCAGACAAAAACCGAGGAAACTTGAGTTTGTCAATGTGACGATATATTTCACGTTCATCACACTCCACCAGCAATATGCTCTCTGTACAATAATACTCGCTCTGCCATGTACATGTCTCATATCTATCTACAGTCCTGTCACATGCACAACATACAATACCATATCATAGCTCTCTGTACAACTCTACAGTATTGCCTAGCCTGTTTTCTTCAACACACATACATGTAGATACAATTGTTAGACACTATTATACTACTGGTTTACAACAGACTCCTTACTACTAAGTGACAGGACTATCATAGCAGAAATAGGCCCAAACAAAGTAGGTGAATAGTATACTGGAAGAGTTAGCCACACAGAGTCTATTGACTTAGTAAACCCAAGTCAATTCTCTGGCAAGCTCTCTGGTAAGTAGATTTGCCGTGTTTGGTTGTATTTCTTCAGCCACTTTGGGAGTCTGGTTCAAACTACATAATACATGTACATGTAATATCTCAGGGATCTACTCAATACTTTGCTGTATTACTGACAACTACGGACTATTTAATAGAGTGTTAACTACGACTACTGGGACTCACACTTGCATAGGGATAGTGACACTAAAGTACAGTTACAGTACAGTATATATACTTCTCACAATCTACATCATCTGTAATGATCACCTACATTTGGAGTATACAGGTGAATACATGGCAATGCTGTGCTGGCTCAGGAAGAGACGATTTGCTCAGAGGAATTTGTGACTGACGTAAGCTGAGTCACATGGTTATCAATGTGGTGTATGTTGCTCACATAATTTGACATGATTGTACAGTATGCATGATCATACTCTTCTTTGAATTTGGTGCAAGTACATGTATATGTGAATTCAACATGTCTGACTTTCTTCCAGCTGCCTGCCTTTGTATCTAAGTTAACCTTTTCCCTGCTGTAACCACATTATCGTAGTGGTTACATTGTATCACAGCTGAGCTCTGCAGGGTGAAGGTTAAATGCTGAGTACAATGTAGTAATCACAAGTGGACCTTCCTTGCACACATACATCTTTGCCATGTTAATGTCATATTCATATTACTATCTGCATAAATATTCGTCGTTCTACAATACTCATATAAAATACATGTCTATACCATAGTTTAAGTAGCCTTGATTATACCGGTATTATCATACATACATGTACTTTCCTCTTAGTTGGTCTACATGTAAGTACATGTACTAGTAGTCAAGATACATTGTGCTGTAAAAGTGATTATATATTAGGAGTCTCTGATTGGTTACCAAACTCCTTACATACTACCTGATTGGTCAGTTTAAATATGTTTAAAATTCACTAGATAGCCCTATCAGCCAATCGGTGCGGTCCAACTATTCGCTACACTTGCTTGATTAGTAGGTACAGTTAAAGACAAGTTTGGAATTATAATCTTACATAATGACACATCTAGACTTCATTTTTTCTTCACCTGGCTTGATTTTGTTCCTTTGCTAGTTTAACTATGTGCACTGTAATCACACAGAAACTTTTTAAATAAGTATATTGTTAACACCCTGTGAGGATTAAGTAGAGTTGCATAAAGTCTGTTGTTTCCCATCCATCCTGTAGCTTTGTGTCTTTTACAAGGTTGAATTTTATTTCCAAGCAGATGCATGGCTCTCGCCTGTTTTGTACCTCTTTTGGAGAACAAGAAAAGACATGTCGGAGCCATACATGTACATCTGGTTGTAGATTAACCATGCCATGTTTTCATCTCACCAAGCCATTTACTTGCATCTCTTTCACCCTGTTCTGTATCCAAAATGACAGAAGACCATACTGCACCACCTACATGGGAACTTCCACACTTTTCATACTTGATATGTAGCATCTTTGTCAAACTCCACTCTTTGTCAAACTCCATTACTTTGCTATAATACACAGGTAACATGCAGGTAGATATCAGAAATACCTGTGAAATTCTAATAATACCTTCAGTAACCTGCATACGCTGCTATATTACTTTGCTTTACAGTATAACTTGTGCATGCATTTGTTAGGACTTTATACACAGAAGTAAACCTAATATAAGACTTTTGTTAGGACTTCATACACAGAAGTGAACCTATAATAAGACTATCACTTTAGTGCTACCTGATACAGGTCTGTTTCCAGCTTTACCATGAATCTATTTTATCACCATGTCCAGAAAAACTGAACAACACGAGATGAACACACTAAATACACTTTTTAAAATAAAAAAACATTTTTGCCGTATGGACTTCATTCAAGGCAGTAACATTACAGAATAATAAATACACACAAGTCTATAAATCAACATTAGCAAAACTCAATTTTCACACAACTTGCCAGAAGCTAATGCAACTTTATAGGAAACTGCAAACTAAAGTACAAAAATAAGCATCTCTACATACAATTTGTCATCTTTGGCTTATAACAATAAGCATTACGGTAATCAATGCAATACAACATATCAGATCAAATGCCTAAACACAACATATACTCACGGAATCAATAAACATGTATATACATGGGGAAAGACATACTTGCTATGTTTTGGACCCAGCAACTCTTACAGTAATTTAGGTAACACTTAACAGCCTCCTGACAACCCCACTAGTAAGTAGAAAGTAGCCTTAATGTCCTTTTACGTTCCTGTGGCTGTTTTGTATAGTAGTGTATGTTGAAAACTTACTTTTATAATGTAACACTTTGTGACTCTCTTTGAGCACTACTAAGTAGAAAGTACTCTTAATGTCCTGTGGCTGTTTTGTATACCGGTAGTAGTGTTGCCAACTTTTCTTCCATAATGTAACACTTTGCGACTTTTTTTTAAAGCACCACTAAGAAGTATCCTTAGTTCCTGTGTTGTGTATGTATGGCTGTCTGGTGTAGTTGTTGTTGTGGATTACACAGTTGACACTTCTAACTCCACATCATTGACATCGAACGCTGGAGAGGTTTCAGCATCCTGACCCGAGGGAGGAGGGGGAGCACATCTCGGCTAACAAAGACAAACACAAGAATTCTGCACTGAGTATCCTGTTAGGCCTGATAGTACATGTAGGATAGAAAGGTGCTATTTTCTTTATGTATGTTACACAAGGAAAGACAGAAGTGCAAATCAGAGATATCAGAGATAGATAGATGCCTAAGAAGAGAAACACAGCAAGACAACACACAGCAGTGATGCTCCAGCCAAGAACATTGAGTTACAGAAACAGTAAAATATGCAGAGAATCTGCTAGTATTTCAACAGTTTCAATTCAAAACATCCAAATTATGCTTTTGATGATACATGTGTAATGCATGTATTGGTGGGGCAGAAATCAAGTGATACTTAGTTTCCTAATGTTCATTTTGATGTGTTGAACTCATTTCATAGCCTGAGACCCAGCCTTCTTCAGTTTGCACTTACTCCAGACTTGGTGGGGTTGTGACAGTTGGAGAAAAGACAAGCCAATGAAGGCTGGATTTTAGACTATTTATTTCAACCTTCCTTTCTGAAGATTTTTGGATGGAGCAGAGGAGAAAGTAGAAGAAATAACAAATCATACCTCAGAAGAATCACCTTTATCACCCTCACCATCTTTACTTTCACCTTTAGCTTCTTCACCATCATTACTTTCGCTTCCTTCTCCATCTTTAGTTTCCTCACCATCTTTTACTTCCACATCATCCTTACTCTCACTTTCTTGCTCTTCCTTAGCTCCTTCCTCATCCTTATCATGACAGCGGTTAGGGACAGAAGTGAAGGTTAGTCAGCACACAAGAAAGAAGACAGAGGTTATGTCTAAGAAGTGTTTGTGTGAATCTTCTATCAGTGATGTGTTGAAATGGTTAGTACACACACAGCACTGCACTAAGAACCCACACTTGTCTCACCTGTGCCACAAGTCACCAAGCAAACTGATCAGGGAAAACAAAGGGGGCATGATAGAAACAAAATACAATTAAAAATGGTAGCGAAAACAAATCTTTCATCAATGGAGACAAACAAGCAGGATTCAAATTTTAAAAAAATTACATGGAAAATCCAAATTAATGCTGTCATAAAACTAAAGGTTCTTAATGTGATTTTGCAACATAATATCATTAAATCATATGAATTTAATGTAAAACATACAAAACATGGGATTTTACACATAACATTTTACATAAATTATGCTCTGCGTGTGTGTGCGTGTGTGTCTGCATGTATGTGTGGGTGAATATAAGAAGAGACTATGGACAGGCTAGCCTTCATTTCAAATCTACAGTAACTGTAATCTCATTCCTACATTTTAACCTGAGCCAGTCAATTTTACTGCATATATGAGCACCATACCTGATCTATTTTTATGGGTTCACCACACCACGAAGTGGTGTGGTGAAACCATATTGCTTTTTCTCATGATTCTCCTCCTTCTTATGGGTTCACCACACCACGAAGTGGTGTGGTGAAACCATATTGCTTTTTCTGATGTTTCTTCTTCTCCTTCTCCTCCTCCTCCTCCTGCCATATCTTTAAATGGATTCAGCTTCTTCATTTTAGGGCCTAAGGTCCTGAAATTTGGTATGGAGGTACAGTGGGCAAATACCCCTAGGCGTTTTTTAAATTATTGTGATACAGGCTTTTAGAATGGTTTTATTTGAGTTTTTTGGCTGTGTAATAGCTAATGTATTACTGTGTAAGTGTGCAGTGTTTACCACATTTGGACATGAGTCATCACAATGGCATGCAAGGCATCAACCAATAGGCATGCAGCTTTCCTCTATTCTCCTTGCTGATTGGCTGTTGGGATTTAACTGGCTTAACTTCATTTACACCTGCACAGAGCCATGCCATACTGACAGTATGTCTGTATTCAAGTGTTTTGGTAGGTATTTTAAGCTTTCCTGCTCCAGCATTGGAATGCGGGCTATGAACGCTTCTTTTTATCTTGAAAATCAACAGTTTGCATTATGCAATCCTAACCAATAATGTAGGGAATAGCTATCCAACTGTTGTAGTCTTAGTTGTATGTTACTTCATACTATAGTTATATCAATGTAAAGCATTGTTTTCCCTTGTGTTTCTCATTCTTTCCCTGCCATGTGGTAAAATGTGGTGAACCCATCGCTATATTTGCTCCAAAGCAAATATTGGCCTTTCTAGTCTTTGGTATCTTTTGCAGTTATAAGTGGTAAGATTAGTTACTGGTCACTACAGTTAGTGACAGTGAGGAGATGTTGTCCTTACCGGTCTCCTGTTGCCAGAGGGACTGCCTGGTGCAGAGTGGGCGGACGGGTGGTCGGCGTCTACATCTAAACTACTGCCAGTCCCTGTAGGCAGGGGGGATTCACAGTTAGTGGTAATCTGTTGCTACTTTGTACAAAATAACATAGAAGCATATACACAACATATGACAGCCAAGAGAATGATAAGAAACAGTCGCAACTATTGGACCCAGTGTCATCAAGCAGAGAGAACTACTGTAAACTGGACTTTCTTATCATTATAGATAATAGGGAGAATGTTCTTGAAAAAGGTTAAGCAACAATGAGATACACTGTAAGCAAGGTGTAGTTGTGATGAGTTGTTTCACAAAATATGAAAATCTGTCTGGAAGCTCAAAGTTTCAAACGTTCTGCTAAAAGAGTTAAAAACAAGAGTTGACAAGAAGTTAACTGACCGAGGAAGTTAGCAGAGGACGGTCTGAACTGGTTGTCTGGGGACTGCGGAGACTCGATGTTGAGCTCGGGTACGGGACCCAGGGTGCCGTTACTGTTACTGTTGTTCCCGTTGGTCAGGAAGCCCGGAGGGAGGGAGGGGGGCAGGACTCCCGGCATGGGCAGGTTAGGTGTGGTCGGCGTCTGCAGGTAGAATAGGTGTGTAAGGAGCACAATAGATTGTAAGAGCATTGTCAAAGGTTGGTCAAAACCATGCACTGCTGCAGATAATCACTAGGTGGCACTGCTATATAAGAACCTGGGACCACCCGAAAGAAGATAAAACTACAAATTAAAGTCTCCAAAAGCAATTTCAGGGCAGTAAAACTGGATTTTCCAACTCAATTTTCTAGTCATTTTTCTGATATAGTACGTTGCATCAACACTACCAGTATCCCATATCATACTAATACCAAGAAATAAAGGAACTTCTCACATAGCATGTATCAGAGCTACAGTATTTCAAATGTTTGAAATGATGACAAAAATGTGCAGAAAAAGCTAGTTAATAGTTTTGTTGCCCGGACATTGTACTGGATGCCTTTGAACAAATCACAAACTCTCACCTTGTCATAAAAAGCAGCTTCACTCTCGTCCAGGTCCTCCACGACCAGCGAGGGGAAGACGCCGACCGTCCCATTATACTCGCCCTTCCACCAGCCGTCGTCCACCCCGTTAGCGTCCTTACTCGTCACGTTGATGATCGCGCCCTCTGGGAACGTCAGCTCCTCCGGGTTACTGGCGTCAAAGTCGTACAGCGCTCGCACCAGGGATACTAGAAACAGAACAGTGTTTACGGAAAGCCATCAAAGCATTGTCAATGCTTTAATGAAATGATGCTCCAAGATATCTAAAATGCAATCTTACTTTGAAAAGCATTTCCAGGCTTTCATTTTTGGCAGACTGTATTCAAGCTTCTTCTCTTTTGCTTACATTATGCTTACCACTCCTTTGATTGGGGCTTTGCCACTGGCTTTTTTAAGACTAATGTCAAGCCCATGAGATTGACCTCATGAAAGCTTTCAACACATTTACACTCATTACCACAGTACCCCAGACTTATATTGTAACTTTTACTTGTTTTAAAATGCTCGAACAGTTACCATGCATGGCAAATTTAGACGTTTTGACAAAGTCATGCCCAACTATTCATCAACAAAATGTGAATTAGCACAGATACATGAAAAGATAAGCATTAATCTCACATCCTTGTTGCTGGAATGGTGGAGATGTCTCGGTAGTCCCCAGTGCCTGCTGTACCTCCCAGTCTGTACTGGACATGGAGGATGTGTAGGACCCAGATACGTGTTGGGGGGAACCAACCGTCTGGGCCGTCTCCAACTGTTCATATTGCACCTAAAACAAGTCAGTAACCAACTTTAACACTGCATTATGAAACGTCAAGTTGTGCTTTTGCAGCACGTCGGCAGAACGGTCTGCACCTGCGTGAAACCCCCATTTTTCACGGTTTTTGTTGGATTTTTGGCCAATGGTGCATCAGAATTTTGCCTGTTATTTTTCTGACATAACATTTAGACACTACAGACAGGATGTTCACCATATATGCACGAATTCGTCCCTATATGAGAAATTCTGCCAAAGTGCTATGCATAATACATTACAGGTTTTGCACAGGTGCAGTACATCCTGCCGATGTGCTTGCCTTTGCAGACTTTCTTTACTCTGCAAAAAAAGCAGGAGACCAGAGTGGCTGGGTGATCAGTCCCCTTCCCTATCCACTTCACATTTGTGTTTCAATTCACCTACACTGCCCTTTGATTGTGGAAAGAATTATGTTCTGTTAACTCACTGCTGAGTGACCATGCTGGGTGTGATAACCATCATGGCTTATTTGCCAAAGCAGCCAATATTAATGCGCATACAGATAGAGGTTTATGCACAGTACTTACATCGGTGGAAGATACAGAGTTTGTGATGTGTGTGGGTGTGTGCAAGCATGCATGCATGTGTGTGTTAACGTTGTGTGCAGGGGCTCTATACTGTACTTACATCAGCAGAAGATACAGAGTTTGTGATGTGGGTGGGTGGCTGTGGGATCTGTACTGTATTTAGAAGATAGAGTTTATGAGGTGTGTGGGTGGGAGGGAGGGGGTTCTTATGTACTTTACTTACATCAGTAGAAGATACAGAGTTTGTGACATGTGAAGGTGAGTCGGAGGAGTCTCTCCTGTCCACACTGCTGCTGTCCCACTGCAGGTAGTTCTCTGGAACATACCCAACCTCACCTCTCTGGTTACGCCCCTGAGAAATACACAGGTATGGAGTGAGGGAAGACAAAAAATTTATTTAGTGTTAAGTGCTTACTAACAAGATCTGTACCCACATCTGCACTAGTAACATCTGTACTCACAACTGCACGTTTTCACAATATTCAAACTGACACTGTTGTCCCTGTCCTTGGTGCTGAATGACATTCACACAGACACTGCTGTCCCTGAATGTCATTCACACGGACAATAACACATTCACACTAAAAGTACCTCACTGACCCCAATGCTGAATAACATTTCACTTAACACTTACACAGGTTTATAGATACAGATACTTACCATCACCCATCCCTCAATGTCTCCATCATCTATGGCCTCTACAATGTCCCCCTCTGCAATGGTCAGCTCGTCTGACTTCTGGCCCTGAAACGCATGGTTACAAAGTTTGGGTTGTTTCTATCACTTAATAAAGCAAAGAATGTGCAGCTGTAAACAGCCTACCAGGTTTTAAAGGTAATTCAAACTGCAAAATGTTCAGTAAGAACAAGGCATTTTTGCCTCCCAAAAGTTGTATACTTAATGTTGTTTAAAAGTGTCCCACTGTTTTTCTTCTCTTTTGTAACACTGCCAAATATTGGATGTTTTAAAAGTACATAAATGGCCCACCTCGTATGGATATAGAACGGAGCAGGTGATTGGGTACTGCCGAGACTGCATGGAGGGGCTGGAGCTGACCGCGTCCGCACCGTTAAACACGACGGTGTTGTCAAATGTGTCGTCCCACTCATCTGTCTGATCCCCAAACCCTGCGTCATCCTCCTGAAGATAGAAACATTTATGTCAATTTGCATCTAAGTCGGAAGTACCTTTCTGGCAAAAAGTAGTATATACATTAATGAGATAGATGTTGCATCTGCAATCAATTCAATGCTATTTTTCTCTGTCTTTAAGTTTAAATCTTACAAATACGTACACAAGGATTGAAATGGGAGTTAAGTGTTAGGACAGCAGAGCAGTTGTATTGTGTTGATTCATGTAGTAAGCAAGTATACCATCAACGTTGGTACATTATACCTTACCTTGCTGGAAGACTAGATCCAATAGGATCCGAGGGCAAGCAGGAAAGAAAAAAAATTGTTTTGGTCAAAAGCCTCATGGGACAAGCAGTGTTAATGAAAAAATATGAACAATTTACTCTGGAAGCCTAATTGCAAGCACTATGACTTAACATAAAGTCTGCATCAAGATCTTGAACAGTGTTATTACCAACCATACTACAGCAGAAATATACATATGTGACGTAAACACAAACAATGCCTATTCAACCATAGGTAAAAAAATTCTGAAAAATCTAAAAACCAAAGCTGAACATCTGCCTCATCAACAGAACCAAAGAACGCCTTTCTACCATGCATAAAGAAGAAAACAATGAGGACCAAGCTATTTTCCATTCTACCAAAGCTTAGATCAGTACAGACAACTGAACATCTGACACAGGAACTAAAGACTACAACACAACAGAAACATCTGTGAAGGCCCTATAACAGGAACAAAAGTAGCCATGCAACAAAAAGACTCCATCTATGCAGTTTTTTTTTACCAGTTCTCTAAAAGTCTTTGATGAACAACATAAAAAGACCTTCAGTGAGCATCAAACATTGTTTTAAGATGAAACAAGAATAACTTAAACTTAGAGACAAGAACTGACTAAACCAAACCAAGCAGCAAGCCACCACCAAGCAAAACAGAAAGAGAGAGGGCCATTCCACTATAGGGACGCAACACCACTAGAAGATTCCCCCGTACCATGGAGACCTTAACAGGAGTGGAGTCTCCCGTCTTCTGTCCAAAGTCTCCCCTGTCCTGGCTGCTCTCGAGGAACACGTCATCGTTGGGAGACACGGGTCCGATCTCCACATTCCCAGCGGAGGTGGTGCTGCTGAGATCGGCAGACGTGGAGGACCCACCGGGCCAGTCACTGGTGGAGGAGGCCGCTGCACTGGTGTCAAATGTCTCTTCCCAGTCGTCGTAGTTGGAACCCTGACAATAACTTGTTAGTTACTATAACTTGTAAAGCTAACAGTTGTGTTAGTATCTATCAATTTTTCCCTGCTTGCTGTATGAATAGGCAACAGGAAGAGAGCATTACACAATACCAGGGAGCCATCTCTTGCACCAGACCTTAGCACTTCTTCTTTGCAAACCATTCTGCCACAGCAGACTGCCCATGCTGTTTCATGCTCACTCACACTCACTGTGTGACTACATAAGCACTTTCCCAGCCTATCTGAATGCACCTTACAGACCAGGTTATACTGCATCACACACAAAACTGTGCTGTCCATCACACACAGCCTTACTGACCTGACTGGAAGGATTGGGACTTGTTCCACCTAATCTACTAGGTGAGAGAAGATTTTTCTCATCTTCTTGTTGTGAGTGCTGGGAACGAATACACATGGGGGAGGAAGACAAAGAAAGAAAGAAAGAAAAAGAATGGGGGTGAAAATAAAATTTTATGTTCTAAATAAATGGGTGCTCTATGAATCACAAATCTCATAGAGCAATAAAATATTAAGATATGTGTAAAGAAACAACAAAACAATCTGTAGGCAATTTTACACACAGAAAAGGGGAAGATCTCTTCTTGATAACATATATTTTCTAAAATCAAAACCAATATGTGGGAGACCTTCAACATTTTGAAATGTATATAGACTGCAGCAGCAAAAGACATTTCAAACATCATCCACTGTCTTTCATCACTGAACTGCAAATGAGACTCTGAAGAACACTAGAACTTATCTGTAAATGTCTAGTTAATCATCTAGGAAAACTCATGTAAATGTCTGTTCACCTCGGAGTTGAGCGAAAGCCGGGAACTTGTCCTGCTGAGTCGTCCCTCCCCTTCAGGAGGTGAGAGTAATGAGGACGTGGTCTGGCTCAACCACTGGTCCACGTTTACTACAAATAGACACAAGAAACACATTCTTATATTTGGAGCAGAAAAATAAACAGTAACAAACATCCACCCGATCGTATTAACAGCAAGACACTATATCTCTTTTTGACGTTCTTGATTTTTGTCACATTTGCAAGCCTAAAGCTGTCTCATAACATGTGAAAGGTGAAGATTTGTCCATAGCAAACAGCACTGTATAATGTAAAGAAAAGTTAAAAGACAACTCACCCCCTGCTACTCTCAGCTGCTCAAGCCTGGCTTCCGCTTTAGCCAGGGATGTCTGTAAGACAAAAAGAATAAATTATCCCATTGTACAGACTAACCAGGAACATGTACTTTCAACTATGATAAAACAGAAACTTTCAAAAACTCAAATCTCTTTCATTGTCTTTGATTTTAGTTTACCAAGATTCAATGTGATCCATGTCATGTATAGTCTAGTGCATAGTGCTGTTTTTTTTCTTGCCCAAGATGGAAACAAAGGAGTGTACACACAAACACACACACACACACACACACGCGCGCATTAAGCATCACAAGTACACATAACCCACCTCTGCTTTTCTAACCCCCTGTTTTGCCTCCTCTATCTTCTGCTCGGCCTCGACGGGACTAAACTCTGCCAGGCTGTCGGGGTTCTCCTTGTACGTACTCATCTGGTTGCTCAGGTCCCGCTGAGACTTCTGCTGGTCCCGGATGTTTTTCTGCTCGCGGGCGATCTTGTTGGCCCACTTCCTGGCCTCCTTGTCCAGAGACTGTTCCCCCATCGTCGACTCTTGGAGGGTGCTGATCTGTACATGTGGAAATGTAAGGCAGCTCAGAAGAGGAAGTTGTCCACACACACATACTATACACAGAAGTGCCTCTTTCTTATGTCAGGTTTTAATCCAATAGAGAATTGGGTACATCAGTAAGGTTAATCTTTTTGTCTTTATGACTTTTCAGTTGGTCCAATTAATGTGTATTCAAAGTTTGCAATTTATCCAGGACTGTTTTTAAGAATTCATATCCAATGTAAAATATAGCAATTTGTGTCTTTCAACATTCTACATGTACATGTAGATCTAACCAGAGACAGGAGTAGGACATGCACCACTCAACTTACCCTGTCGTTATCACAGGGGTCGAAGTCATACTGGATGTTGTCAGAGAATACGGGGTTGGAATGGAAGAAGCATTGCTGGTTGAACTGTCTGCTGATCTGAATAAAAGATTAACAACAAATCAATAAACAATCAGTACACTATACATCAGTACACAGTGCAGTATTCTCTCAAGGCATATTGCTTAACTGAGATGTGACTGGAGTTGTGCACATGAAACTTTTTTTGGACATTCAGGAATGCGTTGAAATGAAGAGCTTACATCACAGTAGACATGATATAATCTCCAAGCAGATCTGTTGGTGGCTGCAAAAGACATTATCAAATTGGCCAGGCAGTATTGGCCAGAGGAGTATCCATTATCCTCTGGCCAAAGGATACTGCCTTGCCACCATATGATCTGCTTGGAGATTACACATGATATTAAGATATTCCGATTCTTGAGTAGGAGTGTTAGTTACCAGTTCTGCCTGGCTGAGGACGTCCCGGAAGCTGCGTGCTGCCTGTGTGTTGAGGTCCACCTGGGTCTTAGTCAGGAGCACCAGAAACTCCTTCATGTTGTCATAGATATCTCCGTCACATTCCTGTAGAAAAGACAGGAGGGGGAAAAATGTTCAATTATGTAAGGTTTGCAGATTATACAAAAAGGAGCATGATCTTGATCCAGTTCTAGCTACTCTTCCACAGACAGATGCATATGTACAGTATCTACAGGTTCATTGTACCGGAGAAATTTCCCTAGCTCTTTCCAACAAGCACAATGAACAGCGGCTTATGTCCCGTCATAAGGACTGTGACCCTTTACAGTATTGTGCATATTGGGTGAGCGACAACAGACACAATTTAAACTCCCAACCTCTTGGTCCAGAGGCAGGGTCACTAACCACTGGACTATTCATGATACTATAAGACAAACCCAAGATGAGAAATGTTCTAACCTCCATGATCTCTGGCAGGTCCGTCTGAAAGTAGCGTTTCTGGTGTGCGTTGGCAGCAGCCAGAGACATCAGGTAGTCATTCCTGGCCACGGCTGACTTACTGTCACAAGACTCCTTCCTCGCTGACAGCTGAAATATGGAACCAATATGTGCATTTATTTTTCTTCTATTGGTTCAACTTTGAAACTTTGAAACTGACATGCAGCTGTAGCTGTCTAACTAACCATCTATATTACGTTTTGGAAATTTCACTTTGGATGTACCCCTACTTTTATAGAGTGTGGTATTTCTTTACAAACATACTCAAGGTGTAATCTACATGGGAAGCACAGCTAATATTTTCCTATAAAGGACTCTAAATTACCAGTAGCATGGATTTCAAGGCTCAGTACATGTACACTGGCAGCCATGTACGATTAAAATCCTGCCCTTGTGTCTAGACACAAGACTGCTAACTACTACACCATATACAAAACTCAATTGCCTAATACATGTATTGTCCATGTCTAGAACTTTCATTAGTAACATTATGTAAATGTAGCCCAATTCTACTCAGGCCTGATCAACATGTGGTCAATCATTCTGCTCGAGGGCTACATATCACATCACTGCTTTTCAGTCACAGTTCACTACAGATTAATTAACAATACATTAAGTGTAGCTTCACATTTGGCTGCTACATGTACTATATAACTACATAATGAACAGGCACTCTGTTGTACCTTGGCACTATTTTTCTGTAGAGTTGCTTTGGACTGGAATATACTGGTTGCATTTCTTTTCATTCTGAAAGAAGAAGTTGTAAACAACATGTAAGTCTGATAGCCTAGAAAGATGTGCATGTGGTAAGCCATAAAAATAAGAAAGTCCCCAAGACAAGGTTTAGAAAGCCATATAAATTCATTATCAAAATTTCATATCAACAATAAAACACATCTACGAGTTTCTGGTTTCTTACATACATGTATGTACACAACAGATATTTTTGTGACAGCATCGCCACTGAATTTTATGTGGTGAGATCACTTAGAATGACTTATTTTGCATCTAGTGTATCTTTACGTAAGAAACTGACTTGCTCTCCGCATCCTTAGCCTTCTCCCGAGCGTCGTGAGCGACATGCTCCACCTCGAAGTACGTTTTCTTCAGCTTGTTCATCTCCTTGACAGTCAAGGTGACCTCCTGGTGTAAGAGGTTCAGCTGCTCCGTGCACTGCCGACAGAAAATGGAACAAGATTAGGCCTAGGAAAAAAATGTCGTGTTTCCTGCTTCAGACCTGAAATAAATTAGGGACAGTAGGTTTGGATTATCTTTTTTTTCATTTTTTTTTTTAGACTTTGGTGATCTCTAGTGATCCAATTTATACAATGCAGTTTAACAATGAAAGTAAAACTTGTATGAGGACACTTATATTTTCAATGTCAATGTTGGAAAACGGATTGCACAATGTTTCATCACTCAGTTGTATGATCATGGAGCAAGAAAAGGTCGATCAGCTTGAAAAAATAATGTCCCATGCAGGGGTCTACCAAAAAAAGGCTAGAGCCGGCAGTTTTTTTCTAGGGTCAGTCGGGAAAACAGGAAACACAACATTTTTTTCCTAGGCCTTAGTCGCACTTAAGACAGAGAGAGCCCTGCAGAACGTACAACATTACACTCAGGCCTGTAGAATTACCTACAAGATCAATACTTGGCTCTGGTACAGGCAAGGACAAGAAACAGTCAGGAGTTCCAAGGTGACATCCAATATGGTCCAGGCGCTTTCCTTGGAAAGTGTTATACAAGTAGGGCTTGGGTGGAACAAGCCATTACAGGCAAGCTGATACCATTTGCCTGCCAAGTTGGCACACAGTTGTGTGTTGGCATGCAGCTTGTTTTACTGCTTAACTAGGCAGCTGCAGATACAGTTGCAGACACAGGTTGTCTACTTGGGAAAAACAACTTTGTAGATTTACATGTCCCATAGATACATTAGTCACTTAACACATCTAAAAACAACTTTCAAATGGGTAATATCTATACTCTCAAATCTTATGACAGCTTCTGGCTTGAGTGGAATTACTTGAGAGGTAATCTCAGTCACAGCATTTATTGCATGAGGAAATCTATAGATAAGAAATTTCAAAGATTGACGCAGACTTACTTTTTTCAGCTGCAGGTCTTTGGATGACTTGAGAGTCTTGGCAGGCTCGACTATCCCAGTGCGTAGTGACTCTGCTGTGGAAAGCCTGGCCTTGGCCAGCGTGTCGGCCTGCTCTATAAGAGCTGCCCACACCACATACACACTCCTGATGTGCAGATGGTGGGAGAGAACAGTGTACATCAGGCAAATACAAATATCAGTCCTTAGGCCACATGAAAACAAAGTCCAAGGGGAAGTCTGTACCATGGTACACTCTTGGAGTGCATGTAGTCAGATCCCAATTTTCCTTGCAGCCCTCTGTTTTTGTCTTGATTTCATACTTGATGTTTACTTTAGAATGTCTTAGAGCCAAGGAAATGGATTTGTGTGGTCTTAAGCTGCTGTACACTTCCCTATACATGTAGATGTAAATGTTACTTATTATTTTAATCTACATATTTCCACTGATTGCCTCATTATTACATGTTGAATTTCAAAGTTGTATTATGTCCTAATGTATAGACTGGACACTCTTGAAAAACACCTTAAAAAATCAGAGGCTTTCATGAGAAATATCAAACAAGAATGTTAAAAGAAACCAGGGGAAAAAGTAACTCACCGAACTTGTTCACTGAAAAACAGAGGGAAACCACAGACCATTAAAACACCAACACCAACATAGGAAAATGTATGGCAGATAATCATTTCAGAACATAATATTACTGTAAAGTATATTCAGTAATTAATTGTATGGGTAAGAAAAGACAAATAAAGTTGGAAATCAAGGTGAAGACCAACACCAACATAAGATGAAGTGGCGTGCTCTGTGTTCCCCTTACCTGTGGTTTGGTGGTTTGAGTTCATCGTCTGCCGGGTACTCCCTCTTCTGGAACTGTTTCACCAGTTTCTCCAGGGCCTACAGAACACAGAATGTATCTCAGTCATTCTACTATAATATAGATTCTATTGTTAAGACCTGACTATAAATATAACATAAAGAACCATATAAATGGGATGTACATGTAAACAACTGGATAAGCTAGGATACCTGCAGAGACATATATAATTACACTGCAGAATTTGCTTAGATTTGTTGTGCTAATTCATCTGTAATTATCTATTGATTCTTTATTCCACTGGTAAACAAGAGGATAACATTTAACTAAAAATAACAAAATGAGAAAAATAACATTCATAATAACATACATGTATGTGTATAACATATAGTACTTCCCAATGACTGAGTTTGCCAGATCAATGACTTTCTTATCATTATTTTATACAAAATTTAGCAAGGACAAAAAGCCTATAACATGCACCCAGCTGCCCAACAGAATTATCTTCACCTTGAGGTCTGTTACAAAGGTTAACAGTACGTGACTACGTGCTATTGCGAGCTTATGGTCGCTGGTTCCCAATTCAGCTGATTATCGGAAATCTTTACTGCCAAATCAGTTACACTAAAAACGCATCAGTGACTCCCTGTGGCTGCTTTCATCTTGCCGTTCCTGTTTCATTTCCATCTATAGGAACTCATTTTAATAGCAGTACAGAGAATACAAAGAATTAAATTATAGTTCAGGCAACAAAAAGTCTAATAATAAAAAAGTAATATTAGGCTAATCTCTACTGGAATTTAGTGTAAGACTTATAATTAGTTGTTTCAGCAAAACTACCTTGTACATACTGCTTTAAATTGGCCTCAACCGTGCAACCCTTACAGAGAAAAATCTATATTCTACTAGTGAACCTTTCATTATGTATTGGAGCAGAAATATTGTCTTGAAAGGGCAGGAAAAGTTACGCTTTTGAATCCTGCATGCATGTATTCTGGCCTTATCTATGTTAATAACAAGTGTGCGAACTGTTTGGAAGCTCTTCTATGATTATGATCGTGGAAAAGAGCTATTTCTTTTGTACAGGAAGGCATCAATAATGTAAGAGACTGCATTTGAAGGTCAGGCCCGGGAGTATATCAGCGCAAGACAGGCCTACGTTAGGTAGTGATTATAGGGGTACGTAATGGCTGTTCTTTCTCAGCATATAATCACGGGCACAGCGGTACGCACCGGAATGGATGGAACACTCCGGAGTCTATTCAATCATCCTCTTTCACTTGTCAAGTGGAAGAATGTGATTTGGTGGCTGGGAGTGTGTCGTATTTTACACGGGATACTTAGAAAGGGAGAGGATTTGAGAGTAACATTTGCCAAGTTCGATGCAAGGCGTTTTCAATGCCAAGAGATGGGAACTGGACAGATTGCTGGGTTTTTGCTTCTTCAGGATTATTATTTTGGGCTTTCTTGTGCATTTTTTTCTACAAAACTCTCATTAACATTCATTTTCACACAAACACTGTACATTTGCACTAAACCCAAAATTTGACTTCTCACAACACCTTTAAGATATAATTTTTTTTTATTCAAATGATTCAAATGTGCTGACATGCACTCCTATGGCCAGAAGTAAGGGGAATAGAGCACTACATTAATGTATTTGCAGCATTCCATATAAGCTGTCATTGAAAACAAAATGTTCAAATACTGATAGAAATGTACAACCCTTCTTTCTGACCCTACACAACCCTTTCTGATCCGCCCCCCTCCCGCTTCAATTAGCCCAGCACATTCATCATTTGTGTCCCTCTCCCCAGATCTCAATCATGTCAGGATTGCATGTGGGAGAATGTGCACTCGTTAATAATGGATGATTTCTAATCCATTAATCACTACACAACATCATCGCACTGTATGATATTACAAGGAGAAAGATATTCGGGAACAATTAAAAAAAACATATCAGGATAGACTCTCACAAATATAAGAAATATGAATTGTATATACATTGTATTGTTTATGAACATTGTTGAATAGTAATATTGAATATATCTTTTCTGCTATCTCATTTTTTTCTGCAAATAGTCAGTTGCATGAAGCTATCATTCAAAATGTATGCTTGTAAAACAACGCCCTACTATTATTAGTAGTAGTGCTAATGTAGAATACATTTGCTGACGACTTTGAGGGAAATGACAGCCATTTTATATGCCATTATTCACTTAGCTTTAACCTGAGGTACTGTACCCTTGTGACTGCCTGGCCATTAAATCACAGTCTGCTGCATCAGGGGATGATTCAATTACTTTCCTACTTTAGAAAAAAGGACAGGTCAGCAGAGCAAGGTCTACAGAAGGCCTGACCAAGTTAATATGCTTCAAAGGTACATAGTATGCTATGAGAGACATATACGGTCACACATATATTCTCTTGCCTCTTGGACATTTTGAAGTAAAAATTGTGCCTGAGGTCAACTTACTGCGAGGAAAAACTTTAACCTGACTATATAAAATGTATCTACTTCTTGAAAGAATGTGAAGCAACATAGTTTCTCATACTGTTTCAGTCTTGATCTTCCAGTTCATCATTATATTTTCAAATCTCAAAAGCAAGAGATCAACATAGAAATAGGTTCTGTGGTTTAAGCACACAGTTTCAAGACATGAATGTTCATGAAGTCACATTCAAGTTGTCCTGAAGTTGACTTGAAGTTAGATTAATTAAAAAGCTTGACATTGACAAATAAGGATGGTATCTGGGAAATTAATTTTTCTTTAAAGGTTAAGAAGGGAGGAATTAATCCCCCTTTGTGTCCCCAGAGTGACAAGGAAAAGAAATTGACAAAATTTGTTTTGCCCTCAAGCAAGGACATCGGGGAAATTCATTGCTCATATTATAGGGGCCCTGGTCCTAGGGGTACGTTTACATGAGGGCTGGAAATGACACCTGCACATGCAGGTTAGTGCAGGTAAAACTGGAGTTGCGCTATTTCTGTACCACATGTACTGTACCTATGGCTGTTGTTCTTGTCAAAACCAGTGGAAGATCAGATTTACAGTAAAAGCTAAATGGTATTGAGATGCATTTCCTCTCTAATTCCATTTGGGTCAGCGAGTCTGTCCCCACCAGTCACGGAGCACAGCAATAGACACAAATTTGTTTTCCCCCCAGGCAAGGACATTTAGGACATTTGTCCTGATATTAGACAGGCCCATTAATACATTTATATATTCCCCACGGGGGAACCCAGGCCGTACCAGTTTCCCCTGGCTATCAATGACTGAAATCAATAGGAAAGTGTTGTTGCCATGGTGATAGAATGATGGACAGGAGGGAAATTTATACTGATATTGGAAGGGCACATTGGGCAGTTCCCCATGTGACGGAATTCAATAGAAATCTGCCGTTGCCATAGAAATAGAACGATGAACATTACGTGGAATATCAGAAAGGGGGAAGCGAGAGAACCGGCTTTCAAGAATGATGGATAATCCACAGATTAAAATTTGCTGTTGTTATGGCAACAGAACAATGGAAACTTTTGATTGGAAAGAGGATATACCATAGCTTGAAATGTGTGTAAAGGGTAAGGACTTGCATTTAATATACAAGAACCTGCATACCCTTTTTTGTAAGGCGTAATCAAGCCTTTTCAGTCTTTGTAAAGTAGGCAGCCGTCCAAAATCATCATAATTCATAATCAGTATAATAGCTGTAACATGTAATTGTCCATAATCAGCTCTGAGAATTTAACGTAATTCGTAATCAGTGGTAAAAATTTTGCGTAATTCGTAATCACTACCCTCCCCCCCCCCCATGCAGGCCCTCATATGCACAGGTCAGCATAAGCCCAGCATCCTTTTCTTTACTATCAGTTCTTCCTACATAAGCACCCTATCAATAACACTTCAAAGCATTAAGAGCAAGCTTACAACTTGCTTAATGAGTTCTTTAATGCCATCTTGATACCAGGTGCAATATAATACCACGGTCAATACTGCACATATACTGCAATGTTATCTTCCTGATACGTACGTGCTGTAAAATCTTTAGGTCAAATCTCGTTCAATGTGAATGTGATTTTCCAAAGTCATGTTAACCAGCCTTGACTTCTAAAAAACCTAAAAGGCTTATCCGTATGCCCATCTCTAAGCAAGCCAACACTGATCACATGCGGACAGGAATTCACTGGTAAGCAAACATTTGCTATGGGCCATCAGTCCGGGATGTCAGAGGCATGTGCTGAATGTTGGGTATGTGGAGTTGTGAGAGACAGACATCGATATGTCCTGTCTGACCACAGGCTACTTTTGACACAGGATAAATCTGACCTAACACCCAACTGTCAGACCACAAAAAGACGGTGATGACACTGATGGAAAGATACTGCATCAAAGACCTTAGAGATGGTGCTCTGAAGAACATCCATCAATTTAAATTGGGAAAGTCAGTCTTTTCCATCTATCAGTTTCAAAATTGATGCTGAATATAGTTTTGAATTTCATTTGAAAGATCATGATTTTTCCCTCCACATAGCAATACTAGTACCATTAATTCCATCATAGAAAAGTAGTAGAAGTAGTAGATTGAAATGCTTCTGAGTTACATGAATATTCCCGATTCCACATTTCCAGTGTACATCATCCACATGCAAAGTGACCACTGTACATGTGATTTGCACCTTTTACGTGCAAGCTTAGATTGATGTCACCCCAGTTAGGTTTAACAAATGCGTGGATGATCACTGGGGAGCAATTACTATGTGAGACCTACACGAACCTACATGCTCACGTTAGCAGTACGGCCGCCGGGCTATTTACATGCAGCACTTCAAAGCACAACTGGAATGAGCTGTCCATTAAACATACCTGTACTTGACGTGGGAGATTAGCTACATGTATAATAGCTCTGGGTCAAGTACTGAACATAGCAATTAGACCAAAGCTGCAGGAATATTGCATAGATAATTCTTGAAGAATCAACTGAAAACAGTTTATTGGTCTCTACATGAACATACATGTAATGATGTAGTAAACTAACAAAGCAAGACACTTCATCCACAACACAAGGTAGCAGGCAGGCTTTCAAATACATGATAGTATTTCATTGCCTTTAATTAAATACAGAGGCCAACAAACCAAGGATACATTTTAAATTCTAGAATAAGGAAAGGTCAGCATAACAAGATGCTAGAGTCAGGAAACACACATGAGCCTGGGGCGACTGGTCAGATTTGAGGGTCAGTGTGGCAGTGGAGCGTGTAACAGTTCTATTACTGAGGCTATTACACGGTACCCTGGGGCCATATAACACCCCCCTACATCACTCAGTCCTGCCAGCAATGTCAGCCCATTTCCTCCTCCACCCATCCTTCACAGCCGTAATGGTGAAAACAAATTAGAGAATGTGACTGGGGAAAAACAGTTGTGTACTTAATATGTCCATGTGAGTCTGCAAATGAAGCAGTTTCATTTCCATAACAGCAATTTGTTTTAGTGGTAACATTTCTGTCAATTAATGTTTCAGTTAGAATGTATATCATGTTTGATGAATATTAAAAAAAATTGAAAGTACTTAACAGCTCAGTGGGCAATATGGTTTTAAGCCAAAATCCTCAAATCTCTTTTTAAGTGCAGAAACAACGTAATATTTCTGTTGTTTGCCTTAGTAATGACTTATAAAAAATCTTTTATTCAAACAGGAACTTCCAATTTTGAAGAAACGTGTAAAAGTAGGTGACCCTAAACCACACATAGAAACGAGCTGCTCACAAATACTTCTGAAGGAAACATTAAGCGTGCTCATTGGAACCTTCAGCACTTACCCACCCGCCAGTCTTTTACTTTATCATTCACTCCAGCGCACACAACATTCTCTCACTGTGCACGGAGCATTTCCGTACCACCCCTGGGATGGCTACAATAGGTAACAGATTAATAAATGTATCGCCGCACGGTATTGGGAGCATATCTTGATGCATTGCAATAACTCATACACTTAAGGGAACTCTCCCGGTAGCAATATGTACTGCTTCCACGTCATGGAACAGTACGCTGTAAGATCTACATGTATATGACTGTACGTGTGCATTTTGTGTGAGCCACACTTGCGCAAATCTTGATGCACATATTGCTTCTAGGATGAAGGAAATCTCAAACTGTCATCAAAACCAAACATCATGTTTGAATAATGAGAATATATTCAGATTTGCAGACAGTTGATAGAATACTGAGAGAAATCATGGACACCTGCAAAACGAGCCCTAGGATTGTTGTGGGCCTAAGAGTAAGACAAATATGGTTGTACAGAATAATCCTAAAATCTGGTCTTGAGGTTGAGTAATTCATTCAGCTGCTGAGCAGATATAAATCTAAGACTTCTGATCAAGATACTTTTCACTTCTCTTCAAGGTGTAAGTAAAACTAGGATATACTACATAACGAAATACAAATACATTGGACCAAGAAAATATACATGTAGGCCCCTCTAATGATGCTTTCCAGTTTGTCACACAAATCTATCACAGTCATGTTCTTCCCACTTAAAGGCATTTTCTTAAGAGGATTCCCCAATTTCTAGTAAGGTTACCATTAACTCAAATTGTGATTGAAAGCTGTTCTTGTTTCCAAGGTTCCACTCTTGTTCTTAAGTGTTCTTCCCATCAGTCACAATTTGTAGGCCGGAGTTTTCCCGTCTCCCTACTTAACTCGCTCGAAATTGCAAGAAGGCCAGGAAAGTTGTTTAAAAAGTCTCCAGCTTTGAAGCGGAGAGAGCGTAGGTAATTACACTGCGCTGGGATTAATCTCCGTACCTACACAAGTAACGAGCAGCCAGCTTTCTCATCCCGGGTCAGGTCAGATCGAGACAAAGCGAAGGGAAAGCAATCACACCAGCTTCAAAGGACGAACTGATTAGACGCGATTTCAAGTCTGACAGGAGATTCTACTGGGAAGAAGGAGGAGGAGGAGTTCTTAAGTTAGCAAGCATGAGACGTAGTCTGGCATATTTGTCATCGCGTGAGCCGTTAAGCCGTCAGCCTCTTGTCTAACTTAAGAACCCGAGTCACATCTGAGCCAGCGTGGCATGAATTGATATGATGTGTTCACAAATCTGACAAGAAATTCAGCTGGGGGAAACTAGAAGATAGTTTTAAAGTTTTCAGGCATGAAATGTAGCCTTACACCACTGTTGTCTTGTGGGTCGTTATGCTGTCAGTAAGTGTTTGAGAGTCCCAGTCACATCTAAAGCAGCACGTCAGGAATTGAAATGATGTGATCACAAAATAGTTCTGACAGCTTTTCTACTGGGGAAAGCAAAGGACAGTTTTAAAGTCGCCGTACACATTTGTCATCTTGTTAGATGCTATTAGCCGTCAGCCCCAAAGCAAAGGAGTCTCCATCACACCTAAAGCATGTAAAAGATCCCTCAATATATAAGGTAGGGATGTACATATTACATACAAGTCTATGCTAGCCAAAATCTAAACTAACGGTTCAGTTTGCTAGTAATAGTATTATATGGCATATTGTTATACATGTATATATGGTGTGAACTAATCCCCCTCAGATAACCAATGCATTTTACACCAGAGTTATTCCCCATAAAGACAGCCAGAGCTACATATTCACTCTTAGAACTTTTATGGGGCCTGCTACGCAGACAGGATTCGCTGATAAGAATTTGAGATTGCTGTTCTCGACTGCAAAATTTCTCTGGAGTCTTTGTTTTGATTGATATATCTACAGGAAGAATTGGCATTATATTGTGCAATAAAACAAAATAGGGATTAGATGTATGAAACTTCACACTGTTTGATCATCCAGACGTCACATATTTTGTTATAGCATGTTTTATTAAGGTGTATTGCCTGAACTTTATTGCATTTCACCTCCAATGGGCCATGAAACAATATGAACTTAAGAAATAAACATATATGAATCATGAACGTACAGTAACTAGGTATACAAATACAAAAACAGAGTTGATAAATACTCTGTCAGAAGCAGAAATGACTCTAGTTCTTAATGTACCCATCAAAAAGCGAGGAAGCCAGGCTCTTACTACCATTATCATGATGCTTTGATAGGTCTAAAGCTATTACATCTCAGCAGGGAAACCAGGATTGACTTTCCCAGGGCCTGCACTGGGAAGCAGCTCTGTCTATAACATTGCCGTCATTAAATTTTCAGCGGCAGTTTTGCTAGTTAGAGGACCTGTTGGCTCCTGTGTCACCTTGATGTGCTATTAATCCACTGCGAGGGAACCATTCAGCCGCATTGTGAGCATAATTTGCAGCGTGATGGCATGGAAAGACTATTCATCATGTGGGATCTACCGGCGCCTGGCAGAAAATAATCTGCAGATGAGGGACTGAACGCACAGCTGTGATCGGAGCTGGTGCATGACTGGCGATATGTTTCATCGTCTGTATTGAAAATTAGGAGTCAGTCTAGCTCTTACAGACCTGGCCAACTATGAAATCACAGTTACTATTTGTAACAACACTGAAATACTTTTATTTCATGCTACATGCCATCACATACTACATGTAAGTACCTTGGAATATCTTATTAATAATAAATGTGTATCAAAATAGGGCATGAAATAGCAACCTTCAATTTGAAGACATATTTTATAGGAAAAGATATAAACAACACGCAGTTTGGCTAACTAGTAGAATACAGAAATGAGGTATTTTTGTCATATTACAGGCACCAGCCTAACACTAATTTTTTCTGCTTAAAATCGTTAATGTCCCTCAAAACATTTGTCCAAAATGATTTGGTCATTTCAGGTGACCCTTTCAAATATTAATGAATAGCGAAGTTGTGTGTATTTTAGAAACTGACAACTGTTCCTTTGTCATTATTCAAACATCACGTGAGCTAAAATCAGCTGACTACTATTATGATAACCTTTTAGTACACAACACAGAAATAAAACAAACACATGTAAAACACCCTCTGACTACAGTGCCTTTTACAATATGTAGGTTATTGGCCTTTTAAAAATGGATGCAGTGTCTTAAAAGTTTGTATATCTTCCAGCTTATTCCAATATTTGTTTACTATATGTGCCATGACTCAGTACTAGTGTTTAAGGAAGCCAAAAGGGACAGGCAGTGCCTGCCGTTCTCGAGGTTACACTGTACATGTACAAACATTTGCTTTAGATAAATTGTTCAGACTAATCATGGCATTGAATAAATGTGAAATTAAATGCCCCGAATGGGGGGTGACATGTGCCTTGTTGGTCAAACATGCCACACCTGACACAGACTAATTTCCTTTAAACAATCTTAAGTCATAGGGTTTTTTGTAAGGGAGTAGAGAAATATATTAGAGCAAAACAACTTTTGAGTACAACGAATTCAATGTCATGGGTTTGTCTGTTGAAATGGGTTTGCATGCAGCATTTTTTCACCACAAAACTCACCCTTGCCCAAAACTGTATTTGTTTCCATGAGCAAAGGAACTTTTTCTTCTGTTCTCCAATGAGGTAATGTTGTCATACTTATATTTAGTCTACAGGGGTCACTAACCCCTTCCACTTTGCCTCAGGTGATTTTGTATACAGTACATGCAACAGAAGTTGAAACAAAGCACCTACCGGTACTACACACCTATCCAACCCAGCCCAACCCGTTCTAGCCAAACAAAGCTAAAACCAACATTAACATGACCCGTGTGACCTAACTGTATGCCTATCCTCACTTCTACCCCTTTTACACCTCCGTAACCATAGAAAGTTCGCAACTCACTTGGCCATAGTCTTTCTCCAATGCTGACAACTTGCTTCCAAATGCCCTGAAATTTGACAAGTCAGTATTTAACAAACACAGGTAGCAGTCTTTGCAGTGAAAGTTTAGCAGTGAGAGTGCAACTTAAGCCAGCACACTAACACCTGGTAAATATTTGACATCAAAGGTTGGCTTTTAAAAACAAAACACCTTTGTCTAGAAAGCACACAGTGAAGTTTAAAATATGATGATGTGTGCAATCAAAGCACATACATGTATACTCAAATGTCAATTTGATAGTTCAGTGCATAAGATGTGCATATTGCATACCATTATTATATTTTCAATGTGCAATTATCATAAGTCGTAATCATCAACATACTAGTAGACATTGAAACTAGTCAACATATTTTCTTACCTGATGTCTTCCAGAAGGTTACACTCTGTCTCATGTTTGGCCTGTAGTTTGGAGATGTGTTCAGAGTGAACCGTCTTTAGCTGCTGGCTAATCTTTACCTGTAGTCAACAGAGAAACGTTGCAAGGAACAGATAAGATTTTAGCTAAAAAAACTTGAATGTACATCATATACACAACATCACATTGCTTTGCCAACATGTTGGTAGGCATAAACGTGTACCCAGTGCAGGTATTTAATGGCCATAAATATTCCAAAGCCCAAAACTCAAGGGCAAACTGGACAGTAAATGTAGTACATGTGAAAGAATATTTCCATGTACATGTATGTCCCTTTGACCTCCTGAGAGGCAGCTAGGTTAAATGTGAGGTTTTCAAGGTTAGATAGAGGTATGACAACAACAAACTGACAGTTACCATTCCTTTCCCCCAATGATTAGTTCAACCACAGTTTTACATTTACATTTATGTTTTGACAGTTGTATAATGATTGCACATTTTGGTTTGTTTCTTGAAGTCAGCAACATTCCTGTAAAAGCCAAACAGTATATCTTCTGTCTTACAGACAAAGTCCTTGGCTTATTTCTACTGCTGCATGAACAAGAACCAGAGTTAGGTCACCAGATAGGTATTGGCCTATACATTGCCATTGAGCCATGTCAGTCTGTACTGCTCTGTCTATAGTGTGCTTCTAAGGCAGGGCTCAGAATTAGACCTGTAGGTGAAATGGGAGTCATGCAGGTACACTGTACATGTATTTCTGATGTCGATTTAGGAAGCAAAACTGCACCTATGGTAATTCTGCTCCAGCATTGTCCTGCGTATGTACAATGTAAGTGCATGTGTACATGTGCATACATGTAGATCTTATAATTATAAAGGATAATATAGCACAATCGGAACAAAGGAAGCGCTCACTATGAAGATAGTACATGTTTAAATTACAAGTTACAACTATTGCAGTCGTGATGAAGCCCAAGACATGATTAAGAAGCACTCCAGCCATCATGACCAAATATCGAGTGGAAAACTGCAGCACGGAAATCCTACATGGCAATCATAGAAAATGGATGTGCACTACCCCGTCATTATAGGAGACCTACCAGCATCGCTCACAAGGCATGCATAATTGATATTTGGAGCGAGACAGTATAGGGGAAATCTACCAGAACTGATAGCCCTGAAGGTTGAAACTGCTGAAATTGTCACTGTTACAGTTTGTGAGCTCAGTGCAATTCTTTTGTAGTAAAGTCTCTTGCAACAACATCTTGTACAGCCATGCCCTGAATGCTGTGACAATTTTCAAACCGGCAACTTCAGAAATTCATACAGAGATCCATGCTTATAACATAGCATTGACTACCAGAAAATAATACTCATAAGATTTATAGTTCAATTGGATATTACTGCTGTTATCGTAAGTCAAAGACGGGCCATGATATAATTAAGAAAATGGTTATTATATTACTAACATTATAACATGACATGATACAAGACTTCCTTTTGTTTTACTGAAACTTATTCAGGTAATGTGTTTATTGATCAGCCAGCGTACTGAGCGTAGTCACACTGGCACATAATAGCTTTCTATTGATTTATTGATGACAATTATCTTCAAAATTGAACAGACAGTGCAGCTTTGAACATACACGGACAAAATCTTGATGACATTAACTGCTCATATTCAACTACTAGTACATACACGTAGATAATGCAGTAGAATTAACTCTTACTTGATATATCCAATTGAATAATATACTGATGATACAGAAAAGTGTGAGCTATATATCAGAAAAAATGATGATGATCAATTGATAATACATACCCGGTAGAAGGTATGTTTACGAGTAATATCATATTTTGTGTAATTATATGAAGTGTTAGCAGATGGCATAGTCACACTGCCATGAATGATATCTATGGCCACTACATGATTATTACAATTGTTTAAACTGAGCCAATCCCATATTTCTGGCCAAAAATGAGTCAGCAATTCAAAAAGCTTCCTGATACAATTCTGGACAAACAAACAGAAAAAAGAACAGAATCTATGATATCTAACTCTAGAAAATATAAATATAATGGGAATATCTTAAAACATATCCCATACTATATCAGTATGTCTCTAATTTATATGTAGGAGTAAAGAGGTATCTACAGTAAGTACAGTACGCTAAGTTACTGTTAGCGTACATAATGATTAGACTAGAGAGAGAGACAAATTATAGGTTGTTAAATTGTTCAGATGCAATTTCTGTCTATAAAACCAAAACACGGAGAAATACCCGACTCTTCAGTCATGCAAATTAGTGGATATGACTTGTTCACAAGTGACTTAACGGCAGAAAACACAAGAGGGACATGTATATATGTCAAGACATCACTAAAAGCCAAACAAATCATACCACATGCAGAGACATTTCACGATAGCACATGGGTGGAGATGCAGAGCCAAGGGAATGATATTCTAAGGATTGGGGTGATATACAGATCAGGGACGCCAACTCTAGCATGCACACGTGATGAAGCCCTACATGAGAACTTAAAATGGGCAACTAACGGCCAAGCAACACATGTGCTCTTTGCAGGAGACTTCAATCACCCAACAATTAGATGGATCCCCTCACCACATGTGCTTGGATCAGAAGGCTCAACTAACGCAGCAAACAAGTTTATAGAGTGCTTGAGAGACACATACGTATATCAACATGTGAAAGAACCAACAAGATATAGGAGTGATCAAACTCCAACAGTGGATGATCTAGTTTTCAGCAACGAAGCAGAAATGGTGGAAGGTCTTGAGCACCACGATCCACTGGGAGCGAGCGACCATGTTAGAATACAATTCAGTTTTAACTTCAATTCACATGAGGAGAGGGAAAGGAGTCCATCACTGAACTATGATAAAGCAAGTTTTGAAGAAATCAGAAATGATCTCAACATCAACTGGGAGGAAGTACTTGAAAACAAGAACACACAAGAAGCGTTTGATGAACTACAATCCCGAATCCTCGAGGCAGTGAATAATCACGTTCCCAAGAGAAAAACAAACAGCAAGAAGCAGAGGGTGAAACCACCATGGATGAATAATGCGACGTACAGAAAGTCAAGGAAGAAATTTCACACGTGGATAAGATATCTCAACACAAAAAGCAAAGAAGATTGGAAGAAATATAAGATAGCAAGAAATGCAGCTACACATGCGGCCAGGCAAGCGAGAAGGACATTTGAAAGAAGGATTGCCAGAGAGGTGAAGTCAAACAACAAATCCTTCTGGAGATATGTCAACAGCCGCAGAAAGACTAGAGTAAACGTGGGAGACCTTAAAGATGAGGAAGGAAAGTTGACTACTGAAGACGGGAAGAAAGCCGAAGTGTTAAACACACAGTATGTCAGAACTTTCACACACGAGGATCGCAGTAATGTGCCAAGGTTTACACTGAAACCCCTACAGAGTGACCTACTGAGGACAATAGTAGTTACAGAGGAAATGGTACTAAAGCAACTAGAGCTACTTCGAATCGATAAGTCACCTGGGAATGATGGGATACACCCACGAGTCTTGAAGGAAGCAGCACACGAGCTAGCCATACCTCTAACTATTATATTCAACTCAAGTATTAAAAGTGGAAAGCTTCCAGACCAGTGGAGAGAGGCATGCGTGACTCCAATCTACAAGAAAGGATGCAGAACAGATCCGGCTAACTACAGACCGGTGTCCTTGACATCCATAATCTGCAAGATGCTAGAAAGATTCATATCAGATGCTATACTAGAACACATGAGAGTCAACAACCTCACATGCGAACAACAACATGGATTCTCCAAGGGTAAATCCACAGTCACAAACCTACTAGAGGCACTGGATGTGTGGACGGAGGCCTTGAGCCACGGTGTACCGGTGGATATTATCTTCTTGGATTACGCTAAAGCGTTCGACACGGTTCCACATGAGAGGTTGATCAACAAAGTAGAATCCTTCGGCATAGCAGAGAACTTGCTACTGTGGATTAGAAACTTCTTGACGCACCGGAGACAGAGAGTCGTAGTCAACGGCCAAGCATCCAGCTGGAAAGCGGTGACGAGTGGCGTACCACAAGGGTCAGTGTTGGGACCGCTTCTTTTCTCAATGTTCGTCAGTGACATACCCGATGAGCTACATAACTTTGTTTCCTTGTTTGCGGACGACACAAAGATCTACGCCATTGCACATGGGTGTGAAAGCCAGGCCAAGACACATGCGACTCAAGAACTCCACACGAGCCAGACCATAACACATGCGACCCAAGAAATCCACACGAGCAATATACACTCCACATGTCTACAGGCTGACTTGAATACTTTGCAGAGATGGTCATCTAGGATGCAGATGAAGTTTCATCCTGACAAGTGTAAAGTAATGCACCTGGGAAGAAGAAACCCCACACACGAGTACACTATGACAAAGGAAGATGGAACACTCCACACGCTGAAGGTGACACATGAGGAGAAGGACTTGGGGGTGACGATTGACAGTAACCTCAAGTTTAGCACACACGTCCAGGTTCAAGTAAACAAGGCCAACAGAGTTCTGGGTGCAATTAGGCACACCTTCAAGTACCTGGACAAGGAGGCTTTTCTACCTCTTTATAAGAGCTTAGTCCGTCCACATTTAGAATATGCAACCGTGATATGGTGTCCTACAACCAAGAGAGACAAGGACAGTGTCGAAAGAGTGCAGAGAAGAGCTACAAAGCTTGTGGAGTCAGTGTCCCACTTCCCTTATCCCCAGAGGCTCCAGGCTCTCCAGTTACCGACACTCAACTTCAGACGACAAAGGACAGACGTGATCCAACTTTACAAAATCACACACGGGTATGACAAAGTAAGAGTTGGAAACAGCTGCAGTATTTGTAGAGGGACCATGTTTGAACCCAGTCTTTCAACCACCACACGGGGCCACTCCTTCAAGTATCAAGTACAAAAATCACACGGGACGAGGAAGTGCTTCTTCTCTTCAAGAGTCACAAGTGTGTGGAACTCTCTTTCCCAGGAAGCAGTGTCCAGCAAATCAGTAAATGAGTTCAAGAACCATATTGCACACGAGTGGAAGAATCACCAGGATATGTACAACTACACCTTTACGTACTGATCATAGAAGAAGAACTGCTACCGCCGAAATTACCCGAAGTGCGGTCTCATTACCCATACAGGGTACCTATTGACCGGCTACAGGTGAGAAATACAGGTGAGAAATATAAGCCACGAGTAGGCATGTTCTAACCCTACTGTAGGCCTACATGTAAGTTCTTCAGGGCACATGTCGCCTCGACTCTTCAATGTAGACCTTTGAAGTCCAAAATGTCAATCACTTTCACTTCCTGGACAAGATAACTCATTTCCTGATTGTAACCCCTACTGTCCACTTCTCACCATCAAAGTGGACCATCCCTGAACAAATCAGTGCCACCCTTCTCCAAGTCAAATGACCTACTATGTACAAATGACCTGATAGGAGCGAGGGAGAGAAAGCGATGTCGGAAGCTCGACATTTGCATTCATTAATTTGTAATGCAGCTATCAGTACTGGCAAGATGTCAGCTCAATGGATGAGAGAGCAATTGATTGCTCTGTGTGCTGAAGCAAGGTTATCACAGGCAAAGCTAGCTGTGGTTGAGAAACATTCGACATATAAATGAGTAGGTGGGGCAGGATTTTGAGTGCTGTACTGATTCGCTGCATGGGAAGTGAGAAATGCTGTGTCATTTTGTGAAAAGTGTTGAAGGCAAATTAGCTACTAAATGAGCACATCCATATGATTGTCACCACATTTTTGATGTCACACTGTATTACATAGAAAGTCTCAACAATCAATAATGTCTTTATGGGTCAACGACCATAACGAAATAAAAGTCATTTCTGCAACCTTTAGTTACATATACATGTACACTACTTTCACTTTTAGTGGGTACAGTACCGTTACGGCAAGGTTCCACCACGTATGCCACAATGAAATTGTTTGCCACCTTAAGAACATGCACACTTACTCAGTCGTTTGCCGATATTTACGTGTTTCAAATCATCAATAGACTGTTTCCTTTTGATCGTGCTTGCGTCCCACAAAGAACAATATTTACGTAGGGGCAAAGAAGAGAGAGGGTACGGTCCGCGTCTCGAGTACTGAAACGCCCACCGAAATCGCCCTAAAGCTAACCACCCCTACTTGCCATCCCTTCCGAACGTCCTTAATTAGCTCGGCGGACGGCAGGACGTACCTTTCTCGGCGGTGGCTGCATGGTTACGCTCCGGGCGGCGACGTCCAGGCAATTTTGTCACTCCGAGATCGATCCGTGGCACCACCTGTCCGCCATCTTGGGTCACCTTGTGTGAACTCTCGCGAGAATAATGCAATTGGCACATTCCATTCACTTTTGGGGTAACATTTTTATGGAATGTTCCACTTAATCAATGGGGGTGGTGGTATGCTTCTCTCAGTAGTCATGTGTTTACCGCAAATGTAAGATTAGCTCCTCCTATGGTGAAAAGAGAAAAATGCAGACCTATGAAATCCTCAAAACATGGGTAAAATGATGTGTCAGACCTACACTTGCTTGGAGATTATATTGGTAACAGGTCAAGGCCAATAATAGTACCCTTGAACTCAAGATGCTCTTCACGAATGTCAAGTGGATTTGTAAATTAATTGGAAACCGGATTAATCAGTGGCGCTGGTGGAATGCAGCCGATCTTGTTGGCCTTGACATTTCAGCAAAAGGCCAAATGGGCCAATGAAATTTATAGCCTCTAGTCCATGCCTTAGCATGCTAGCACCTTTGATACTTGTACCATGGAGTTATAAGATTGGACGTACAGGGATGGGGATGGATGGTCAGCAAAATTGCTTGCTGTGCGGATTGGGATTCATGGCACGCAAGGACCCATCCTTCACATTCTCCTTACAATGTTAGAGGCCCAAGGGCAGATTGCCAAAAAGTCACAACTCAGAATGTCCTGTCGTGTTTTACCTGATCATGATGCCCCATAAATACAAACTTGACAAATAATCCAATGAACTCATAGAAACTTTTTGCAAGAACAAGATGATTTCCTGTTGTGCCCTGATGCCAGCACCCCCCATGCAGACCTTCTTAAAATGTCTAATGGAATTATCACATCTTTCACTCCCATAATCACATCAAATGAGAAAACGATTGATACTTTAGTACAAATTTACCAGCAAGCCCAAATCATCAGCATCGAAATAAAAACCAACAGAATGGTATTTGTCAACTTTGTAATATAATTCAATTGAAAATGACATTAATGTGAATGTTTTTTACAATATAAAAAGATTACTCAATTTGCCAAACTTCTCTTCAAAATTTCTTTTAAGAGACAGAACTAAAGTATGGTAGCAAATGAGAAAAAATCGAAGGAACGAAACCAGTATTCTATCAATATATAGCAGACTGTTTGCTTTACGCTTGCTGTGTCCAGTTCACAATACACAAACTATTGGTTGTTTTAGAATTAAACATGAACAGGAATGGTCCAGGAACTATAACTATTCATCTAGACTGGAGTGGTGTAACAGTTACTTTATGTAATTTCAAACAAACACGATTAGAACATGCAAGAAAACATTTCCCTCATCACAGGATATTGAGTACCTGATATGAACAGCACAACTACATGCATAACGCAACATTGACCGATAGAGGTCAGCATTATATGAATGTTCTAGATTCACATTACATTTTCAGTCCTCAAACTGTGTGAGATTTGCCACCAATCATGGATATCTGACATCATCAGTGGGGCTGAACTTCAAAACTTTTGGCCAGTTCTTCCCATTCATTCCTGTCAGTCTGTTCTTCCTGACTTTCCGAACCCCCTTTTTTCTTGGATGACTGGTCTGCTCCTGAAGCCTGCAGTTTGTCATGCTTCTCTTGGTGTTGCTGCAAAGCAGGCAAAGCTTCCTGGAGGCTGACAAATTTGTACTGGTACTGTCCTGTGGCTTCTCCATTGTTCATTTGGGAGATGGGTTGGTCATTGTTGCCTACAGCATCAGCAGAACAGTCGGATGGCAATTCAGCACCACGGACATCACTGGGCACAACTAGAGGAACTGCTGTTGAACTGCTTTGATCCTTGTTAGATGAAGAACCCTTATCCTTATGACTTGTGCTATTTTGTGGGCATGTTGTGGTAATGTCACTGCTACTTGATTTCTTCTCTTGTGCCTCCTGGAAAACCTTATCAATCCTTTCAAACTCTTCATTCAGTTTGCTTCCTTGGGGTGGTTTTACAGCCTCCTTGGCTTCAACAGGATCAGCTTTCTGATACCCTGATGTTGTTTGCACCATTTGCGGAGGACTAGAGCCTTTGCTTGGCTCTGAATCTGGTCTCTGTGTGTTGTCGCCAATCGGTATTTCTTTACAGCAATCTGGTTCATTGGTCAAATCAATTTCCATACTTGTTTGCACTTCTGTAACATTTTCAACATTTTTGTGTAGTTTGTTCTCTTTCTTTTGTCCTTCAGATGGCTTATCCTGAGCTAGGCTTGAATCATGTGGAGTGTCTATTGACTCACTGCAATCGTCCAACTCCATTGGAGCAAGGCTTGTCACAGTGGGAAGTGAGTGGTTTGGTTTATTGGTCTTGCTGACCGAATCTTCCTCCTGTTGGTCTGTCTGCGTAGAACTGTCTGTTGAAGACAATTCAGTTTGAGAATACACTGATGCAGTCTCTGCTTGTGAGTCTTTTATTGCAAGCATCTTGTTGTTTGTCAAGGAGTTGATTTCTTCTGTCATCTTGATGTTTTTCTTGGCCCATGATGTGTTCAGCTCTTCAAGGTTGTTATGGGCTTTCTCCAAGTTTTCATAGTCTTCCTGTAACGTCTTGAGTCTTCTCTGCAAAGAAGCCTCCTCCTTCCCCCACTTTTCAAAAGCATCCTTGTGGACATCTTTCAGGTTCTGTAACTCCTGTGCCTGCTTATCAAATGATGTCTTCAGCCCTTCATGCTCAGTTTTGAGGTTCTGTAGCTCCAACTCCACCACTTCAAGCTTCTGTTTGAGAAGACTGCATGTCTCGACATGCCTGTCCACCAGGCTTTGGCACTCTTGAAGGGAAGACACAGCCTCTGTCTTCTCTTTCCTAATCTCCTCTAGTTGCGCCTGAAGCTGTTTACTCAAGTCTTGTTGTATTGTAAGTTCTTGCTGCACCAAATGAAGGCTGTTGTGCTCATCACTTGAGGTGACATCAGAGTTGTTCAGCTTGCAGTGAACCTGGACTTTTAAAACTTGCACTTCTTTCTTCTGAGCTTCCAGTGCTGCGTCATGCATCTTTATCAGGCAGGTCTGGTGGTTGTTAACAGAGTTCAACTTCTTGTTTATCCTGATTGCTTCTTTCACTGATTTTTCCAGCCTGTCCTGTGTCTCTGTAAGCTGCCTACACTGCAGGAAGAGAGATCTGCACTTCTGTTCCATCTCTGTCATCTGGGACAAGTGAGAGTCTTTAGCACAGGCCTGAAGTTTCAGTTGCCGCTCTTGTTCCTTGACCTTCTGCTCAAGACTGTACTTACACATGTGTAAGGTCTGAACCTCTTCCTTCAAGGCTTTGATCTCCCTCTCACTAGTCTCCAGATCTAGGACACTCTTGTTCTTGCTATCTTCTGCCTGTTGTATTCGCTCTTTGTATTGTTTGTGCAAATCTGTAATCTCCTGGCCATGTTTCTTCTCTAGCTCTGCAGTGGCCCCATCCTCTTCCTCCCGAGCCCTTTCCAGTTGGTGTTTCTCCTTGACAAGCTGGCTGATTCTCTCTTCATTCTCAGTATCGGTTACTCTGCGAATCCGCAGCTCTTCAATAACCTCAAACAAGTTGTCTCGGAACTTCAGACACTCTGCCTGACTCAAGGCTCCGTTGTCAAACGCTTTGGGTTTGAGTTCACCGTCGTCTGCTTTGAGGTCTTCTTCTGCTTTGTTGGATCCAAGTGCATTAGCACGACCGTTTGTCTGTGAGTCCTGTTCAGTTCCCTCTTTCTGTACACTCTCTTGATCACACTGCATCGTTCTGGACCAAAATTATCAAAGACTCTGCTAAACATAGGCTACAGACGATGCTTCTTTCCAGAGTCACCCTTTTAACCTTGTAATGTTCGACTGGAACAGACTGGAACATGCGAACTCTCGTGACGTCCAAACTCTCGCCACGTCTCGCGAGAGAAATAAAGTTGGGACGTCCCATTCATTTTATGGGCAAAAACGCGCTCGCAGTTATCACCTTGTAGGTCATACTCAAGTATTTTGTATTGCCACTGGCGAAAATGATGTTTCAACTACACTCCCAATCGTATCAAGACCCGGTCAGCAAGTTTTAGGCAACGTACGTAGCCTCAAGCGCGTCTTTGGCAATTGAGTTGCCCGGTAAAAAGTGTCTGAGTTGAGCCGACCGCGATTCAGTAACCAGTGCATTCGCGACCTCTTGCAGCAGATTGAGGATATGCAGGGTATTTCTCTACGCTTGTCAGTTTGGTACATTTCTGTCATTTCTGGCACTTTTCATAGCACTTTTAATTTTTTCGAGAAAAGAACCACTCTTAATTTTCCCCGAGAGAAGCGAGAATCACCAAGGAGGTTTGAACCACTAAGGGGGAGGTATGGAAAGCATCAGAAACAGGCGGAAAACACTGAGCCGGACGCTATCCAATATCTGCTTGGAGATGCTCGCCACACGTTTGCTACTGGTTGCCTAGGAAACCAGACCACGCCTCCCAGGCAGGGCGTGAGAAAATACGGAAGGCGGAAATCCCGCACGTTGTGCGCATGCGGGAAATTCGAGAAGACCGTCGTAGCCACATGGTCAGATTGTACCAAAACATTCAAAGTGCAATCTATTTCAACGACGTTTACATCCACTTGGTGAGTATTTTGTCAGTGTCAGTAAGTTCTTCGATGTGAATTTCATGTTGGAATGTTGGTTGAACGTGTCATTAATCTGCATGATGACTTTCGTTTGTAGGAACGAAATTAGGACCACTACTAACGTTACCTCCTCATACCTCCATTCGCAGTGGGAACGAATATCCATGCTTTCTGGCCATTTTTGCCTGCAACAACAACAACAACATCAACAAAGAATTCCAGCGCCGCAGCATGGTCTGTTTGGGGCAGGAAGTCGACTAGGCAATGACCTCCTTGGACTAAAAAAATAACAGTTCTGCTAACGTCTGACGCGGTTGTAATATGTGTTAATGTCGCAAGCCGTCGTCAGAAGACCAAAAGCCCAAGCCGTCCTGGCCGTGCTTTATGGTATAAAATTGGGTAGACGATTACGCCTCCTACAACGTTGTCGAGCATTGAACATTTTGGAGAAGTTGCGTGCGAAGTAGGTTAATAAAACTTGACCGGAAACTTCTTGCAACCCCAGTGGAACCATATAGCCGAAAGATCGCTGTTTTTGTTTACATCATGTAACAATGTACATGCAAAGTATTTGAAGGCAAATGCAAATTATCACCCAACTGTCACCCACTTTTTGCCCACCAGTCGCAGATATGATCACATGATATAGATGTGTTATGTATCAAATGTGAAAAGATTTGGATAGAAGCCAGTGGTATAGGTAGGTACCACAGAGGCACATATTGGGGTTGTGGGCTTACAGAATATTGTGTGTGTGTATGTGCATGTAGGATTGTATTTTTTCCTGCCATGGTAAATCAAGAATATCAGGCTGGTAAAAACATGTAGAGACTTTACGTCCCTTCCCGTGCTGATTTTGACTGTCGGGGTTCAGTGTGTTTGAGCCGGATTGGTCTATTCTTTGATTTCCTGTTATTATTATAATCATCATATCATTATTATATGATCATAAAAAGAGGTCTGGTACTTATATCAGTTAATGGAGGGAGGCCAGAAAAGGACATAATTTTTAGAAGAGGAAAAATCATTGTGATTGAACCTTTTTTATTGATGCATATGTAGGTGTCACAAGAAGTTCGTAGGGCAGTTGGAAAATGTTCTCTCCTGATATCTGCTTGGAGATAAGCTAAGGTGCCACAGCTGGGTCACATCACTTGCTCTTGTCACTGACCACAGGATATGGATGACGGACCTGTCCCCACCCCTTCCTGTTGGGCTGGTCCACCAGAGGACTGGAGCAGAGTGGTCCCACATGCTGGCAAGGAAGGTCCATTCATGCACATGGGGAGGGTAAGGATAGCATTAAATTATGGGCCACGGTGCAGATTCATTAATTTCACAGTAACTTGGAGGAAAATGAGGCATTTGTACTAGTCAGTGTCCAAAGTTTGTGGTGAGCACAAAGTGCATTACTTACATGTACAGAAAATTTGTGTTGTTCAAGGTATGATCACTCACTCATACTCACTATCCGGTTTATCATTTTTTATCACAAATATTTATAGATATTAGCAAGTAAGGTTTTGAAAAAAATCTTGGACTAGCACATTTTATTATATAATTATAATTGCTTTTGTTCAAGAAGATAAGTCTCTTTCGCAGAAAGTGACTATTCCATCTAGAATTAAGCTACACAAATTGATAAGCTATAATTGCCATTTTTGCATACATTGCTGCAGCATTTAGTTGATTCGCACTGTGTATTTCAGCATGACTGAGTGTACAGATAGATTTCCTGGCAAATGCCAGTGAACTGGGGAGAATTGCTCGCCAGATGGGCCCAGGGACTGAAAGAAATGCCAGTGAGAGTCAAGGGCCAATGGCAAAGTCACGGATACTTTGGATAGTCTCAGTAAGGGAGCGGCTGTACCCCTGGCTATGTCCCTGGGGACCCACATTATTGAACCCTGTTCCATGTCAACCAAATGTTTTTCAGGCAGGAACACCAAAGGCAGGGGTTGACCAGAGACCAGAGGGCTGTGATTGCGAAGGGTAACTCTTCAACATTACAACAGAAAAAAAATCAATTTCGTCTTGCGTTTGTGTTTCATATGTCCCCTGAAGCATGTAATTAAACAGTCAGATGTTTCATCAGAAATCATTTTTCTTTCCGTGTCTTGGAACTGGTGCCAATAATTGATGAATGCAGATTGATAAGCACCAACTAGTTTACTTCAAGTTGCCTCCTCCATCCCTCCCCTTAGGTAAGAAGTGAACAGTCCCCACTCTCTGAGAGAGGGTCTGGGCGTGATGACTGAGGAATGATGTGTTCCTTATGTTCAACTGTAACAGACCAGGCAAGGCTGTGAGCTGCCCACTGTTTCCTGAGCTGTTTCTCAGAGGTAAGTGTTAGGTATCAGCTTATCCACCTCTCCATTTAACTGCTTGTAAGTTTATTGGACAAAAAAAATCATTTATATTCTTCACCAACCACACATGGTTACTTGGTGGGACAATCTACATAACAAGAAGAAGTGTCAGGCAGCACCACATGTATTACTATGACTTGGAAGCAAGACTGAACAAAACCACCCAGTGTTAGTGGTGGACAAGTACAACTACTGGGCATTGGATATGTATATGAAATGAAGAGCAGCTCAAACTACCATAGAGTTTCCACATGGTCAAAGATTCTACTCCATTCAGTTCAACACAGTGTATTACTTGAAAGGAAGACACATTGTTTGAAGCACAAAAATGAACATAAGATGCAGCCCATTCCACATATTGGAGTTCTCCAGCATGAAATTTTTGTCGATAATTTTTCAGCTGCGTGCGAGAGAGGGTGCATGCATCACTGCCTCCTAGCCATTGGTGGGAATTGAGGGTTGCTGGAGGTCATACACAGATGAATATCAGATAATAAAGGCTGGAAAACGAGTGCTTTGATGCTGTTTCTTGCTCAGAGAGAACATAGTGTAAATTGTATTTTTTGCAAGAGCATGTAGTAAATGATTTGATAGATTCTTTGGCAGTTCCATGTCTGGTGATATTGAGGTTTGGGAAGGGTTTTCCAACTGACATACAAGAAAATTATGTTCTGGCAGCCCCTTTAGCAGCGTAACAGCCAACTTCCAGGTGGTGTAGTAGACAGTTGTATTCCCATGGGCCAAAAGTTACTGATACCATCTGAAACTAATCAACAACAGACTGGAGAAAACAAATGACTGATGAACTGAGCATGAGATTATTTCTGGATCCATGACAAATAAATAATGGCAGTATAACTACCCTTTGGCATAACTCACCAGCTATTTGTTTTGCAAATTTGAGATATTTTATTGATAGTCCTGAGTTTTCCTTTTCCGCGGGTAATTGTAGAATAAAGCTGTTGGATTAAAATTTTCTGTTGACTGTTGCCAAAGTTAGTGCAAGTATTTGTCTATGCTTCAAACACTGCATAAATCTCTTCCTCACCGTCTCTCTGTCAGGAAGTGATATTATATTATTTATTAATATAATATCTGATGGTCTCTAAACAGCAGGATCTCCTTTAAAAAGTTACATGGACATTTTAGCTTACCTGCCAGAGATGTCCCCTTGTGAAACTTGTTATAGCCATTTGAATCTCTGGATTTTGTATTTGTAGCTGATTGGTCCCTCTGTTCACCATGTTTCCAGGCTGACTTTGGCTGATTGCCTAGTCCAGACTCCTGAGGGTTTGATACATGCAGGGAGGATAAAACTACAACATAGGGTGAGTAGTATATTACATGTAATATATATTTTATATATTGCTCTCCTCACAGACTATCAATGGCCACACAAATTTGATTTGTTGGTTCTAAGATGCCAAACTGGACTTTCTCTATGGAAACACTCTAATATAGGGGAAGCAAAAACTACGTTTCTTGTTAAACACAGTTTGCCTTTGCAAGTTTTCCTTCTATTCTTCTATTTTTATGTTCTCTTGTTAAAAAAATTGCTGAGAACCAAGGAGATAAATTTATGTGGCCTATGCTTGCTGTGGCTGCAGTATTTTTGACAAGTTATCATATGTAGTGTTTGGCTTCAGGGACTTTTGTGAGCTGTGTACGTAGTCCCTGTTGATGAATGCCCGATGGACTGTTATATACATTTGCAGGGATGTAATCATTGTGCGTGGATATACAGGTGAGAGGTGTTGTGCACAGTTCACGAAATCCATTTAGTGGAAAGTTTATGATTTTCCAGGGGAACAACGGAATGATATAATAATAGATACAGCTTGGAGAATATACCAGAAAATATTGTGAATGTGCCAGCTCTTGGGAATTCTTTGAAAAGTAGTTTTCCAAACAAACTTTTGCTAAGTTATGAGACTTGGACGTATAATTTCTTGCATGTACCAATTCTATGTGGCACCCACTGATACTTAGCATCAATTATAGAAGACACATGAGTAATCATAAATGTGACTAAAAAGAAAGCACATTTTATCTATGTTATCCTGATGTTGTTTTGCCTATTTTCATAACGCACAGTGCCCATTTGTCAAGTAAGTTTGGGTCAGAAGGCTTGCGTGCAGGAATCATTGACAACTTTAATTCTGTCTATCAACAAACTTGCTCCCTGCTTAGACTAAACATAGGAAACTATTCCTGTGCTGTTATCAACATTGTGGGGCAAGTTTGACACAATGACTTCCGCTAACCTCTGCATACTACTAGTACTTAGAGACAAGGAGGGTGTGTTTTCACTTACATTAGTGGTTGGCTTGTGGTTTGATTGTGAACAAGATATATAGTTAAAATCTTCAGAGTGGACTTTTATATTTGGTCTCTCTGTGTGCCTATCATGTGTACATGTATTTCTGACTGCAAAGCAGTATGGATAGCCACAAAGCAGTATGGTTGATTATATTACATGCTAACTCTATCTTATATTTGTTTGCTAAGTAAGGAATTTCATGTACTTGGGATCAGAGCCATAGAAATATTCCCTTGGGCTCAGTATACTACAATATATGAGTTCATATGCCTGAGCCATACTGGCATCCATCCTAGGTTACCAGGTTATGACAGGGTTGGAGAGATATGAGGATGGAGATCACATAAATCCTTCCTGAAGGCCACAATAAACAACTGCTGGGAAAAATGTTACACCTGAGCGCAGGGGGGTCAAAGGGCAGGATGGCAGCAAATTGATGAACTGTTTATTGTTGGTCACCAGATCAGCTACTGGAGAAGTCTTTGTAGTGGAGCAACTGTGTTGAAATGTTTTGATTCTAAACATAAATCAAAGACAACTTCCAGAAGCAGATTAAAGAAGGCTTCATTGTGATCTCTTATTAAATCTTATGGGTTTTTTATAAGGCTTCAAAAATGTATAGACTTAACTAGGATGGAAAAGGGAAATTAGCGATTTTCTTTGTTGTATGAAAAGATATATTGATGTCAATTAGAAGGTCAATGTAATCAGTTTTAACCCAGATAAAGGTCACCAACTTTGGATCCTAACTTCTCACAAGTAAAGATTTTAAAGCTTTTTCTGTCAGCTGACCTTTGTACTTCAAAGTATCCTAGAACCAAGGAGATGAATTGTTGTTGCCTTAGATACCACCAATGTGGTGGGTTGCCACTTAAAGGTCATTAATCATGTCCGTGGTTTGGCTTTATTCCGGCCATCTCATCAGGCGGCTGCTGGTTTCCATGGTTACTGAACCGGAAAGTTCGGACCAGATCACCGAGCTAACTGGTTACCTAAAGGTCGGGCCCACCTGTTGACACCTTATTTGGTCGTAAAGGGAGCTACCATTTTGTTTCATTGTGTGGGGGATTATTGCATTCAGGCCAAAGCAATATATCTACCCAGTACTTTGAATTACTCATAATTACTTGCATTGTTTCATTTTTAAATCATCAACAGAAACAGAAAGAGCGAAGTATCACTATCATGGTCGTTTTTACTTTACTTAGACAAGTAGAGTAGAGTAGAGATCAGAGCTAGACTAGGATGGATATCTGTCTGAATAGTAAATGTGCATTAAAATGGCTTCCCAGTGCCATGCATATGACCACTTGCTGCTATCACAGATTGGATTTTGGGGTCAGTGGTAGTCCAAGGTCTCCAGTAACCATCTGAGCATAGCATAGATTTTTTTATTGGATAGGGAGACCGTGTCCCCATCTGCCATGTGGGGTGCAATCCAAAGTCCTACTGGACTTCTTTCCACCTCCATAGATCTTACAACTTCAATATAGAATAGATCTAGACAGCAATTGTGGACTTTTTGCACCATTTGGTGAAGGAAAATCAAGCAAGCAAGCCAGCAAGCAAGCCAGCAAGCATGCATAAAAACAAACAAGCAAATTAACAATTGAGGAATAAAAAAAGTTCAGATTGTCATAAACCATGATGATATCGTTTCAACAAAGGTAGCTGTGATGAACATTGGAGAGTGGTCTGGACACAAGCTGGAAACAGATGGATACCAAGCTTCAACATCAAAGCTATTGAATATATTCATCCTGAGATATCTTTAACCCTGCAGCGGTGCTGTATATAACACTTCAGAATCAATAATCACTGCTATAGTATTGCACGGTCAACTTCAAGGACGACTTTATGACTGGCTTGGTGATTGTGACGAGACAAAATTTGATACTGGCTGTTCCATATCCGCAAAGTTTGAAAGACTTGGGAACCAACAGCCGTCATCTATATTGATGTGCTGCTGTATCATCATGTTACAAGGTAGCCATCCATTCCTGGCCTTGATCCCAGAATGGTTGATGCTGTTCTGAAATGTTGTCTCCTTGAACTGTAATACCAAGTGGTCAAGTAAGAGTGATAGTGTGTATTTGCCTTGTATATTATAGTGGTTTACTTCATGTATCGTGTATTGTGAACTATTTATACTAAGTATACTGGAGTATAGCAAAGAGGAACTGTGTTCTCATATTCTGTGTTCAGTGATTTTCTTCAGCGATTGGCGTCAAATCAACATCTAAGGAAATTGGTTTCACACTAAGAAATTCAGTGACCAATTAATTCATTTTCATTAACAGATATAAGAGTTTATACTATTAGGTATTGAAGAAAACTGAAGAAAGATGAGTATTGCTGATTATTGATTATTCAATAGTTTCTTCTTTGCATTTGGACGTGATTAAATTGTAAAGTTTACTTGGAGTTTGGAAGTAGCTATTTCATGACAAACATTTTCAGTCAAAGGAGGCTCTATTCACACTCTGCCACTTAGTGGTGCCCTCTGCCATAGCCTGACCCCTTGTGCTATGCAGTAACCAGAGTGGTAAACAACTCAGTTGCTGTACAGGCAGTTTTGATGTATAACATGTTTCATCTCTGTCAAACCCTGGAACTACATACGGCTATGCCTAAGGACTGAGCATTAGAGTACTTTGTAACTGATGTTAGACTCAGAACAAGGAACTTCCCATAGAATTATTGGAATTATCAATTTAGTAGGTTCACATTCTCCACCAAAGCAGCATTTGCCCTATCTCAATCTACTTCAAATTCTAATTCTTAAATCAGACTTGTCCCCAAATATTCCCTGAATTCAAATTAATGATGAAGAATTCATATGAAATATTTTATTTGTCAAGACTTATATACTAGCAATGTCTATAGCCTGATTTTCCTTAATGTACATTCTCCTGTATAACTGTCTTCTCCTGTAACATGTCACCGTACGCGTGATTCTGCTGAATGCTAAAGACTTGATATAGACGTCATACGCACGGATGTCTCGGATGATAAAGTTCATATGATGCCGTAGTGCTGGTGTCTGATTTTCAATATCCCTCCTGCAGAAATGGAAGCTTGTACCAGTTGCCATTAATGTTAGATTAGCAATGTCAGATTGAGCATGTCCATAAAGATTTTGTCCTAATCTTCTCCAAGATTGTCTGTACCTGGAAGAACCTTCATCATAGAATCTCCGGAAAATGCACCCTTGGGATGGAGTGGTGGTCTTGCACAAAACAGCAATTTGCTCTATTTTGTAACGGTTAAAAAATGTAGTTGGATTGAAATTTTCTGGCTAGGTGAATTGCAAAATTAGGTGATATCGAAAGCGTTTTATCGCATGTATTTGTTCAAGAACGTTTTGAGCATATTCATTAAAAAATTATAGCTTTTCAAGTCATTGCATTTTTTCTCTCATTCTTTAACAGCACTAGTGATTCTTCTGTATTGTAAAACTAAAAGATTGATTCTGCTGTCCTTCTGCAGTGATGTCTTGGATGATAAAATTCATACGATACTGTACCGCTGGTGTCAGAGCATCAGTGATTTTCAATATTCCCCTCGCCGAAGCGGAATCTGGTACGAGTTGCCTTTGATATCAGATCAGCGATGTCAGATTGAGTATGTCCATAAAGATTTCCCCCAATCTTCTCCAAGATTGTCTGCACCGGGGGTTATTCCTGCACGAAATCCCAGACCCACTAAAACCTATGATCTTCAGAGAGTGGGACAGCATAGGGCATGTATTACAAGACTTCAAAGCAGGCAGATGCTTTTTGAAAGCACCCTGGAAGAAGCGGCTGTCTTTGAAATCATCTGATCAGCACGACATTGCTTCTCTGTCGAACATAAAATGATGCTGCCGGGTTAGCTCTAGGGCCAGAAATGTCAGAATTTGCAATTCATTTCTAGGGGGGGTTGGGTCATTCAATTACGGTAATGCCAAGTCCCAGTGGGGGTAACGCTAGCTACATCTTGCTCGGTGCATTTGTCAGAAATGTATTG